CACCAAAGTCGCTTTGCAATTTCGGTATCCTTTCTTCCAAAAGATCATGTGGTTGACCGTTATCAAATACCTAGAAGAGGACCCCGTTCCCGGTCCTGTCCAAGAACTCCTACAAAGCGGTGAGCAGTTCAAACGATCCACACCCATCTACTGCGAGCCTGACAGATTCGGACACAACTCACATCTCGGCGCACAAAACTACAACCGACGATACTACCCTAAGCATGAGCTGGAAGGCCTTACTGATCTTCTCAATTACATCTGGAGGACTGTTCTCATTACGGAGGGAAAGATTGAGGTACCACAAAAGACTCGAAGTGCAGTCAACAAATCGATACCCAAAGGTCATGGCGAACCACTTGTGCTAGCACGGCGATTCGCCATGTGGATTGCCTGGAAACGTGGAAACGAGACAATACCTCCATGGGCTTTCTCTGATGCTATACTTCCTGAGGTAACTGAAACTACAGAGAAGAAGCTTAGCGCTGCTCAAGTCAAGAGACTGGAGCGGGAGACGCTTCATGAAGCCCTACGAGCAACAGCAGAAAGGTCTTCAGCTCGGATCAAAGCCTCTGACGTGGTTCCAGAGCCTTCTCCTCCTGCCGAGATGGAGAACTTCAACAATTTTGACATGGTACCCGTCACTTCTGGCCCACTGACGGGCTTCTTACGCCCATCGGCAAACAATCCGCACATCACAACGCCGAAAACTTCTCAGCTCGGACCCAAGCGTGTTGCGTGTGATGCTTGCAGGAAGCGGCGGATACGATGCAAGCATAAGGACGAGCTTATTGATACGTCAAAGCCCGGAATGCACACCATCGATCTTTCAGGATCTTATGGCATCTCGGTCAAACGTCGTCTAAGCGACCACTCTATTGCAGATAGTCTTTCTAATGCCCCCAATGGTCCTGTGAATGGTGGTCCTATCATGGCAGACGTAAATGGAGATCCATATGCACTCAAGTCCGGCAGAGTGAAGGCTTGTGCTGACTGTCGGAAGAGCAAGGTAAGGCTCGCCAAACCAATCCACTACGCACAACTGATGAATATAGCGTCGTTGCATACATGATGAGTACGGCAACGTTGACCCGATCAAAGCCAATGAAATCCCCATCCCAAGGGGCTCCGCGTCCAAGAAACGACGGGTTAGTGACGAAGACTCAGCATCAACCGCGAAGCGAATGAGACACGCATCATCATATGACGAAGAATACATGAATGGAGACATGCATGCGCGGCACTCCATGCCCAGTCAATTCAACGGTGGCTCATCTTTCCTCCAGGACATTGCCTACTCGGCTCAACAAGCGTTGGATCAGACGCCCGAAAACGATGAACTCGTACCTGTTGATCCTGCTTTACAAGCATACACGAATGGGGACTACAGCAACATGAACGCAGCGACCTTGTATCACGGCAATGAAGATACGGTCATGTCGTCTGTCGAGTATCAACCCGCTGAATCCATGCCCATGAATGGTATCGAGTTTATACAGCACAGCGGCGAGCCCCATGGACCCAGCGTCGAACCACTCACGCCTGGTCCATTACCTCACAACGAAACTACGCACATACCGACAAATGGCTTCACATCAAAATCTGCAGCCGAGCCTCACGCAGTTCGCCATCTCTCGTCACCGGTCTCGGCTGCCTCACCGACAGCCAATGGCTACAATCCGTACATAACCTCGCCAGCCACAAATAATTACAACAATTTCACCACGAATTCCGACTTCCCTCCTCCACCTGTCACGCCAACCGTCAACGCATACAAGGCAGCCCGTGCCCAGCAGCAGCAGCCTTCAGCCCGCAAATCAAGCCATACGCCCTCACGGGGTGGTCGAAACAGCAAGACACCAAAATCGACACCAGGGAGCAAGAAGCATGACAGCAGCGGCAACGGCATCAAGCTCGAAAACGGAATGACTATGGGCACAGGCATGGGTATGAACATGGGCATGCTGAATATGATTGATCCCAATCTAGACCAAGCGAGTTTCGATCTCATCAAACAGCTCCAGCAAGAAGATCTTGGCTTGAGAAGGCGAAGTCGGTGATTTTGACTGTGTGGAGTTTGGCCGTACATTCCGACAGGCTCATTTCTTTTCTTTTCGTCTTTTTCCATATTACACTGCATCTTTGTGCTCTGCTCTGCACAAAAACCCACATATCAGGTTGGGAACATTGCCTCAGCCTCTCTCTCTCTTTTTTCTACACATATTCATGGCTGTGCAGGACGACAAGAACAAGAGGAGAGAGTGCAAGAAAGAATCAAAAGCTGGTTGGCTTTACCTCGCGTACTTTCTTTCCTTTATTTATCTTGGGTAGCATCTGGATTCCTACTTATTATGGATTTTCCCTGTTCTTTGTGTTAAAGTCTCAAAGGTTTTGTTTTTCCTTTTTCTTTTGCTTATACCCAATTGGCACTGGGAGAGTGTACATTGCGCACCTTGGCTTTTCTTCTCCTTTTTCATTTTCATTGTATGGGCATGTGCGTGGGGGGCAGGCGTTTCTCACACATCGTTTTCGATGGGTTTCCTGAAGCCAGCATATGGGGACTGTGCTTCATTTCTTTGGTTTATATGTTTAAGTCACAGGCATAGAAATGCTTCTTTGCCACTGCTAGATTAGTAATGAAGATGCCTAGCAAAAACAAAAGATTCAGAACAAAAGATATGCTGTGCCTTGGTCAAAGTGACTTGCTTGTGTACATGTTTAAGTTGTTCATTTCATTGGACGTGTCTATTTCGTGACTGGTATAGCTAGTGTATGGCAGCTGAACGATCGCGGAACTTGGAGTTCTGCCGTCACTGTCATGGCCTGGGGACATGATAGCTACTGCGGCCAAGATGTTCCTAATCCAACGCGCTCGTAACATTGGAGAACTCGCCCTTCTTGAGCTTAGTCTCCCAGAAGATAGGGTTCGTGTCGTTGAATCCATGCTTGACCCATCCGTCTTCCTTGACGTGGTACAAGTTGATGAAACCTCCAGAGTATGCATCTCGGTGAGTAGCAGCGAGGATACTCCTTCGGCCCAGTTCGAGCGCCTCGTCGTCCTCAAGGTCGTACTTGTATTGTGCGTCGAGCACACCGTATGCGAATGTCTGACCGGAACCGACACAGAAGAGGTTACCGGCTAGACGTGTGCCGTCGCTGTCGATGTAGTAGAGGGCAGGGCCTTCCTGCGGGGTCACACCAGCGCACATGGTTCCCTGTGGACGATTGTTAGGTGGATTGGGTAAAAGAGGAATACAGAGTAACTCACCATACTCAGACCCATGCCCTTGTATGAGTAGACCAGGTTGGCCAGGATCTTGGACGCCGCAGCGACAGAGATGCGGCGCTTGTGTCGCAGTTCATGGAGACGGCATTGCATTCCAAGGTATGCAAGCCAGTATTGGCAATCCTACAGCACGTCAGAATACATTCTGTCCCGCACCATCGCCTTGATATGATAAAGTACGTACAGCAGCGCCACCAGCCATGGTTCCCAACAAGCAGCTGTTGATCTCAATGACCTTCTTGACCGTCTGACTTGCTATCCAGTTTCCAGCGGTGGCACGCGAGTCGGTGGCTACAATGATGCCACCCTTGAAGCGGAAAGCAAGGGTTGTGGTACCGTGGGCGATCTTGATGGGGCAGTTGGGGTTGGAGTAGTCGTCCGTCATTGCGCGGAGCCATGATGCTGACTGTACCGCTGTCAGTAAATATGCACTTTTTAGAATTGATTCAGGGATATAGAGCGCACCTGAGCGACAGGTGGAAGGGCAAACTTGAGGGACAGCTCTGGGGCGCCGCTGTAGAGCTGCAGCTGCTCCTCCTCGGACGGGCCCTCCTCTGTATAAGCCGGTCGGCTGTACTGCGATACTAATGAGTCCATGACTGTTGCAAATTTGTGCACTAGCGACTATCAAAGGGTATCGAAAACGTGATTGAGAAGTCGCAGTGGGGTGGTGTTAGGCTGTTTGAAGTGGTGATGTGAGCTCCAAGCTCCGGCGTTGTCGGGAATGCCAAGGCCAGCCGCGTCCCAGCTGTTGCCTTCACCTTCCACCTTGTCGCACCGTCTTCAACACCAGAAGCATCGTAGACTGTACAGTTTCGGTATCGCTTTCGCATCGCCTATGCCACTGGATATGTTCGTATATAGCCATCACTCACGTATCCTCAGCCTGTCTTTTAAGCCGGTCCGATGTCATCCACATGGTTACGCCCGTCTCTGCCTGTGTAGACAACCCATGACGCAGAGGACTTGTTTTTTACGATATCATACAGCTCACATGGACAATACCGTGTCTTGCAAAACTAAAGAGAAGGAAGAAGGACGTAGTTGCTATGACGACACTCATCGCACCAGAGGCACGCGTACTGCATTACACGCCGACGTACTACCGCAGCGTGGGCTCGACTGCAAAGAAGGACATAGCCAACGACCTATTTACTAAGTCATATCCTACTATATACGTCACCGGGATCCACAGGATCCTCCGCCGCAAGGCGCAACAAACAAATGCTGTGGCTGAACCGTCACATGCCCTTCCGATTGAAACTCGAGGTCATCCAAGACAATGGCGGCAACCCACGCGCGCATTTTCCGACCTCACCTCTTCTGTCACTCGCCCACCACACTAGAACACATGTTTGCATCTACCCGTATGCAGGCACCGTCACTAATCATGCAGGCACTGCTTTTGCCCACATATGTCTTATTAGAACCCTGCCTTGCTTTCAGACGAGCCAGGCGCGTGGTAGTACCGTCTCGCGCATGCGCCGTGGGACTAGCGGGTGACTGTTTAAGGCACAATAATCATGGTAGTAGGTATATACACACAGAGAAAAGGACGTCAAATCAAAAGAGGGGAGTTGACGAGAGAAGGTGGATATGATCATATGTACAGAAAAGGTCGTGTGCCAGTCTTAGAATAAGTAAACCAGGTACCTCCCTCATTGTTGACAACTCTTCTTCCAAGTCTTCTGAATGCACCGTCCTCGCCATCCAACGCCTTATCCATATTATCACCCTTCTCGTCCCCCGTCATCACACATTCCAGCTTTTTCACAAACTGCATATCACCGCCTCGCACCACCCGCACGTCTACACCCCCTCCCACGGATCGACTCCGGGGTCGATATCACTGCACCCCATCACTACAGTAACAATGTGCTGGGTCACTCTCACCCCGTCCAGAGGCAAAAAGAAAGGCTACCAGCCTACCTCGGATTCCTCTTGTGTGGAGGACATCGTTCGCATACATCGTAACCCGGCGTCTCCACGCTTAACCAACGTGCGTATCAAGGCACCCAGTGTGGACGTCGAGGTAGACGAGAAACTCACTCAAGCACATGTCTATCCTCACTTGCAGCATCACCACCGACACCCGCATCTCCATCCACTACACATGCACCCTATACACGGCGAGCACCATCTCGGCGTTAGCCTAGGTCTAGGCCACCAGCACTACCGTGGCAGCCTCGACATGTCTGAGGCCTGGGACCCTAAGCTACGAGGTCAAGGGCGAAAACGATCAATCCCATCGCCATGTCCGCCTCCACCAAAACCAGAACCAGCACCAGCACACCCTCCACCACCCTCTTGCTCCTCTTCCTCCTCTCCCCCTCCTTCAACAGCCCCAGCAGACACCTCCCCCCTCATCCCCCCCAGCATCCCCCGCGACCCAATCTACCACACACAAATCATCCAACCCACCTCCCCCCGCGCCCGCGCCCGCGGTCCCGGCCCCAGCACCGTCCGCGAAACAACCCGCATAGCCCTGCGCACCAGCACCGCCACCAGCAACCAGCCGCAGCAGCGACGCCCCCGAAATAATCTCCGCAGAGTAGCAGGCTACCAGGTGCTAGGCCGCCAGGTGCCTTGGGACTGGGATTGTGTCAGTAGCACCGCCAGCAACAGCAGTAATGCGGGAGGCGGGACCAAAGGCAAGTGGGTAAGGCGGAAGAGTGGAGGTGCGGGACTCGTGTATCCGCCGTTTGGGGATGCGGAGAAGTGGATGTGAGATTATCAGCACATTGAAAGGAAAAGAGGGGAAGGAAAATGCCATTAAAAGAGGCGCATTTCATGTCTAGGGCTATTTTTACTAGGCTGAAGCTAGTAAAAGTAGGGTTCTGGGTTCTAGGGTTTTGACGCGCGCGCGGGAGGGAGGGAGGGGAGATCATCATCACTAAACACCGACGAATTACGACGAGTCTTCTTTCTATCTCCTTTGTTTGCAATCTCTTTTGTTTCATTTATCACGATTTGTTAATCTTCTTCTTATTTCTTTCTTTTGTTATTCTCTTTATATTAATGTTGGGTGTATATATGTGCATTGCGTAATGCAATAAGATATCACATAACACACACCCAAATTTAGGCAACCCAGTACTCAATACACCATTGTAATCGCTATCCAAAACTTCTTTCGTGTGTACCGGGCACCAGCCTATTGTCTGAGGCATAAACTTTGCCTCCTTCGTGTCCTGACACCTCTTAGGGGTCTTTGGATCTTGGCTCTGGGTCGTGTGTGTGTGCAATGTGTGCCACACAAGGATAGCAAGACTTTGCACAAACATCTTCCCATTAATGACATACCTGCCTTGTTCGTGTGGCATAAAGCGATGCCATGCAAGCACCTACTACATGAAGCAGCGCTAGCCTTACGGGCGCAGATCAACCGCATCCGGCCTGACAAATCCGCGCCGCAAAAACTCGTGCCTAGCGTTTCACCACATTGCCTCAGATTGAGGCCATGCCTTGGCGGCTTGCGCTAAGTTGTCGCTAACATCGGATGATTATACGCGGTAAGAAAGGGGAGAAGCGGGGGGAAAGGGAGAATGCGAGGATCAAAGGGAACAGGCTTTTTGCTTGTTTGTTCTTGCATGTATCGTACATTGATATCTTTGATTGCAATTCGGGGCTAAATAGGGGGTATTTTTGCGCTACAAAAAATATAGGATATCGGGACAGTATATGTTACAGGTAAATGCTCGCTATGCAGGTCATCATGATGACAATGATCGTGGGTGGAAACATGAACAAATCAGAAATGAAGGATGTGATGGAACCCGCGGAATACTTCCTGCCATCGGTTGAAAAGAAAGTGATCATCGAGCGCGTATCTGCTAATAAGGTATTACGTCTTGCGCGTATCTTAACAGCAGTGTGACAAGTCATCGGTTTGTACTGGAAATCCCAATATTTGTCGTCATCTCCCTGAACTCGGACCCCACGAGGGTCTTGTGCTGTCTGTTGGTAACGGCGGAGCATTGGAGGCACCGTTTCCAGCAGTGCTGTACCAATTGTTCACGCTGCTCCTTCGTTTGGTTCGCGTAGGTTGCCTGCTGAGGCCGCCGAATCCGAGTACTTCGGGTCGGTCAAGATCGAATGGATCAGACTGTCGAATTGTTCGACGAGCAGGCGTAACCGGTGTAAACACGTTGGTTGCAGGTCTGCTCGGTCCTGGTTCTCCAAAAAACATGCCGGAATCACGGGTGGCGAAAGTCGAGTTTGCATCGAAAGTCGCAGTTGGATTGAAATTTGGCAGCGCCATGGAAGACCGCTGACGGTGATGCTGTGGCAATACGGCCTGGTTTGGTAGCGGCGGTACATTAGGTGGGTCATTAAACGGATTTGCTGTGGGGTAAAGAGACCATGTAGTATGCGAGCTCTGTCCTGAAATCGAGCTCATTGCGCGTTGGTGAGTTTGAGCTGGTTTTCTCTCCCGCGTTGGTGCAACTGGCGGTGGATCATAAACGGATGTGAATGGATCTCTTGGTTCAGGATCCGCAGTAGCTGCAGGGACTTGAGGTGTAACGGGCGTGCTCTTTGGATCGGGGTTGAGTATCAAAAGCGGACGCATCTGCTGTGGATCTGCGAATGGGTTCGGTGTGCCTGTATCCTCTGCGATGTCAGGAAATCGATAGGCAGATATACTGCTAGGTTTTTTGCGAAGTAAGTTCCTCTCGCTCTTCTTGCTTGATATGCTGCCGCTGGAACCTGCACGCCTGTGTGGGTATGCATCTTGCGGCTCACTATTTGATCGAATCCGTCCGTTGGAGTCTCTTGAGTATATCAAGTCCGCGCTGGCCTTGGGAACATGTCGTTGATAAGGGTTCTGGGTGGATCCGGTTTGGCTTCCTTTCAGCCTTGCAACAAATGCGCCTAGTCCTGTCGGTATTGTCCTGATCTTTGATAGCAAACTTGAGTCACTTTGCCTCTTCTCATTCCACCTCCTTGGCTTCGACTTTCGCTTACGCAGGATGAGAAAGAGCAGCCCAATAATCAGAGCCAGCGCCGTAATACCTCCAAAAACACCGCCCAAAATACCAGCAAGGTTCGCATTGGAACCCAGAGTCAAGGGACTATCATCATTGGAGGATCCCTGACCTGGTGCGATTATTCCAGCAGACCCCTCGTTAGACTCTCCCGCAGACCCTGCAAGTGGGGAGCTTGTCACCCGTGGTTGGCCTACAGCTGATGCAGTAATGGATGACTGTGGACTTGTGTCGGACTCCAGAGGAACTGCTGGATTTGTATTCACAGAGATTGAAGTGCCAGATACAAGCAGCGCAGTGGGACTGGCCGGTGCACTCGAAACTTCAACGGGTGATGGAGGAGCAACTCCTGATGTTGGGTTAGAGTTTGTTGGCACGAAGTCAGGAGTGACAGATGGTGGATCACGATTGTTTTGTGATTCCTTTGTAGGAGCTGGTGCCACTACAGGAGCTTGCAAGGGTACTTCAACCGTAGCTAGGGCTTCTATCGGTTGCTCCTGAGCAGCCGAAGCTGGGTTTGGAGACGGAAGAGCAAGCGGTACTACGCGCGCAGAGGATGATGTAAGGACTGTACTAAGCGTACCTGTCGATGATATTCCTGCTACCGCATCCACCGTGGGTGAAGTGGTACTAGTAGGTGGTTGCTGTGGTGCCTGTTCCGGGGGTGAGGATGGTGTTGATGAGGGAGCCGGCGGCGATGGTGGTGGCGGTGGTGGCGGCGGTGGTGGTGGCGGCTGTGATGATGGTGATAATGATGATGGTGGTGGTGGCGGTGGTGGTGGTGGAGGGGGAGGGGGAGGGAGAGAAGGAGCCTGAGCAGTGGTCGTCTGTATCTGCGGCGCTGGTTGAAGGGTTGTAGAAGTGGAGGCTATGACTTGAGAAGAGGTCACAACGGTGGCTGGAGTTGTTGGAGTTGTGACTGCGACCCGGGCGCGAGAACGCGTACACCGTCTCCCATTGACGGTCGTAATCGACTCTGGTGGAGAGGCCATTCGAGCGTTAAATCATAGAAAGACACGCAGGAAAGGATGTAAGGAAAGAGATTAAGAGAAAAAAACACTAGGTGCCGCGGACGCTCTGCGCATGTTAACCCGGGAAATGGGGTATGTCACTGTATGTGGTAGTGGACGAATAATGAACAAAGAGAAAACGTTGTAGTAATTAGAAAAGCAGCCGGGTGCTCGTCAACCGTTGGTATACCATGGTGCGCTTGTAGCCGTCTGAAACGCGGGCGGCTTCATGTCGCGCCTCGAACAGGACTTGAAGCGCCGTAGGCCTCGCAGTTCCTGAACAGCGGTAGGCTCATCGTCTCAGCACACAGACTAGTCACTTGATGGGAGATGCTGGCAGCCGTCATAGCGGCCATGGCAATGGCTATGACCATGTTAGCTGGCGATGAGAATTGTGGTTGAGGGGCAGAGGCAGAGGCGCAGAGAGACAGAGGCGCCCTTGCCCCTCGCTGCGTACGTAGTCGACGGACGATTGGCCATGCTTCCGCTACTGGCACGTGACTCCCTCCCCTCCTACTCTACCACGGCAGCACGCTCAACCCAATGGGCCATGCCATAGCACACCTACTCCAGACAAGTCGCCGTTCTGGTTGCAAGCATCTTGGCCAGCACCTGCCCAACAGAGTCAGGGGCATCGGACGACCTTCACATATCAACCGTCTTGGGGCCAGGTAGCGCCCACCAGAGTGTTGCTGGCACCTGGTAGCCAAGCCAACGACACGACGAGCATAGCAGCTGTCAGAAGCCGTGATCCGGGGTCCATTACTCCTCGAGGTGGCTTGGTATGCATCATCATTGCATGCCCGTCAACATCCATTGTCTGTGGCATGCACATGTGGAGACACTGGTACCCTGGATGCGCACGTCCGGTTTAGGGATCCGCGGCCACTACTCCATCTCGACGTTGCCAACTCGTTGCCCTTCTCCTCCCTGAGTCGAGGATTGACCGAGGCCCAGTTGCACAAGCTCACCACCATGTTCACCTTCAGCGGTAAGTGTCGTCTATTTGTGTTCCCCTCCCTCCCTGTCGTTTCTTTGGGGGGCTTCACGTGGGCGCATGCCGAGGCCCCGTTTGCATCATGTTCCAAACACATGTCCCTCACCCAACAGCATTGCCCATCATCTCGATACAACACCAAGCACTTTGTGAAGCCCAGTGTATACGCCGACTTGTTTCCCACTCGCTCTGAACCTCTTCGGATGCCGGGCTGCAAGTTGTGCTGCGCGCGCTCGTCTGTTTGTTGGACATTTCACACATGTTTCGTCTGAGACATTAGTGCACGTGCAATATAGTCGCTGATACAGGGCTTTCTTCCATAGGAAACCTACTGGCGGGGCAATATGACACGCAGAAACAGAGGTCCCCTCCACCGAAACCGACACCCGTCACGTTTCCTGCTCTCCACCCGCCCGAGCCGTCAACACAAGCACCACCAGCTTCGTGGTCCCAGCCAGGTGCCAGGATAACAGACCATTTTCTGCGACTGAAGAAGCCCTTCGATGTCAGTGAGGAAACCTTGGCCTTGCTAAATGTCACGTTTCAGCCAGAGAGTGACCTGGAAACATTCCTTTCGTCCCTGTCAAACAACGCAGAGTCGTTCATGCCTCCCAAATCCTGGTTTGACAGTCCTGGAGAACAACAGCCGTCCTCAAATACTGGAACCACTCCCAAACTTCTGAGCAATGGTAGAAAAGCACCAGAGCAGCGTGACTTCTTTGCTCGTTCAAGAGAATTGTTTTTCAATAACGCCGATGCCTTCTCTACCCTCACCCGCAAAGGGTGTGGAAGTCAACCACCACTTCGACTGGCTCATTTCCGGAAATTCTGGGAAGGACTTGATAACCTAGCCTACTATTGGGACACATCTTTGGACGAGTACTTGTCCCCAGCTCAAGGAGCAAACAGTGATGAACGAACAGCCTTCAACCCCCTGTCGGGGTCCACAGATACCAATCCCCAAGAGGCCTCGGGTGAAACCGACCCGGAGAGGGCATCTGCAACCAAGTCCGAGCCCTGCATGCTTAGCCCGGAGGAGCCTCGAAAGAAGGCAAAGGTGGGAGATACTAGAGGTGAGAACCAGTCGATATACCTCCAAAGCGACAACGGTTCTGGAAAAGACCTTTCGAATGAATCGGCACATCCAGAACGCATACATCGAAACAACATTGACCCGCTTGGAGCCCCAAGGGGCACTAACAAAAAGGCCGAGAGCACGCCAGCCGATGTTCCTCAAGGCACCTATAGAGGCTATCGTATAGGCAATGGGGCTGGGATGCCTGACCAGTATCGGATTGAGTGCGTGCGTTCTTTCCTAGAGCCTATTGCGTGGGCTTTTGGTGTGACACTCTTTCCACATCGCCGCCCGCCTGTGCTCACAATCGAGCACATTCGATTTCCGGTCCGTATGAGCTCTGTAGCTTGGCGCGGCCCTCAAGACAGAGTCAAGGCTAGACAGGGTTGCTTGGAAGGTCCCGTACTAGGCATGCAGTGTAGAGCCGACGTCAACTTTGGGGCAACCGGAAGACTAGAAGCCCAGTCCACTCTAGATGCTGTAAGAGAGCTAGGGGGGCTACTGTTGCTCGCACAAGAGAGAGCCAGAGAGGGAAAATGTGAGCAAAGAGCTGGCGAAGGCAAATGGTGGACGACCAAAGAGCGCTGGGGTGGAGGCCCTGGGGGCGAAGTTGGTGAGGCTATTGGAGCTGCTGAGATCCTTGAAAAGGACACGATTTCTAAGCCGGAAGAAAAGCCTGTTGAGAGAAATCGAGACGGATCCAAAGCCCGTCGGAGGCCAACACCAGCTGAAGTCTGGAAGACATTGCGACCCGGAAATCCACTCTGGGACCCAAAGGTCACATATGAGGCGATTGGCAAAGACAGGAGTATCGCGTGGGACGATGTAAGCTTTCGTGCAACAGCTTTACAAGGCTCTATTCGCTAATCAGACACCCTAGGTATTCATGGTATCGTCATTGAACCACCACATTAGCTTGTTAAGGCTTCGTATACATCCTGCATATCTGGAGCTTATCACCGAAGGCAGAATCCCTGCTGAGACGCCACCGGAATCTGACTGGTGCTCGCCAAAATTACAGAGAACAAGATGGTTTGACTTGTTCAACATTGAAGACCGCGCTGAAGCTATGAGAGGGGTTTGGGGCATCATGTCCTATCTCATGCGCACTGACAGCGCCGGTCATGAAAATGCTGGTATGAGTGAATGATGCAATTCCGTCATTAGTATACCACATGTATATTTCTCAGACCGTCGACGAGGTCGTGATACAGATTCAAGTGGAATGAATGGTAGACACTGTGTTGGGGTGTCGTCAAGCTCGGGAGGGGCACCGGAATTCTAAACCGGATTGGAATGTCACAGACTACTTGAGAGCCACACCCGATGCACCTAACATCTTCTTCTAGTCCATAACGTTCTCCATTCATCAATATGAGACGTCGGTCTAGATCTTCAACGACTAACAAGTTTCCCGTGTCACGACCCATTCTAACAGTATTAGCAGGCGTGCCTGCTTCACAAATTGTACTAACCCACACTGGCTTGAAACAAAAGGTCAAGCTCTTTTACTAAGAGTCGTTGGGTAAAAGCACAGGAAAGGATAGAACAAGATCACAAGAAATTGTGCAACAATGCTAGCACGACCACGATACGATTGGCCTGGCCCACGTGAAGCCTTTCTTTGCACGTTTATTTGCGTGCAGTTGACTGGTATCAATTTTTGCACAACTCATCGCGCAATCTTTCTGGTCAATCGTTTCACTAAAGGACAATGGCGTTGCTCATCAGCATCTACAACGTGACTTTGTCTCGTTCAGTATAACTGTGGCGCTCCTCGGCAGTCCGTGTTCCATAGGCGCCGTTGTAAGGCGCCTGTCAAATGGTAAACATTCTTGATCGTCTTTTGGTGGCTTGCAACATAATGGACTGCAAAACAACCACGATTATGGGTCGAGATTTCGCCTACATTATCCCAAACATCATTAACATCAGACTTATAGTATGGGCAGCGCTCAAAAGCATCATTCAATCACATCAGGCTGCTATCAACTGCAAAGTACAACACGTAGTAACAAATGTGAGTGACAGAAGTATCTCAATCACGCACTTACAACCGCACATTGTTACAGGCGCCTTTGCACAAGACTCGAGCAAACCAAGAAGGATGATAGGCCATGATACAGCACTTATTATAGCAGCTTCTGTTCAGACCTTGCTCTACCCGGTTATCGGCCCATTGACGTGGTGCAACTAGTCTCAATCTTCAGTAGGCATCCACATGCCGGGTTTGCGACAAGATAAGAAGTACCCATGTATCTATGCATCTCACAAAGGTCATAGTATCCGTGGACTTGATCTCGATCACTCGTTTTCCATTGAATGGTCAAAATAAGCTTAAAGTTTAATAATCATACAGAACAGTGATATGGTAAGCAAGTTGGCTTTCCGGAAGAGGATGTCATAGGGTGTGTACCGATACGAATTAGAATAGAGGGGCCATATCTGGAAACATTCCACCAGATGGTCTCTAACGGACGCCACTAGTAGGAGTAACAGTGGCTTGAAAGCCTACGACAAAGAGTTGCAGACTGAACGGTCAGCAGCCCATCGTTTTCTTCGCACACACATTTCGTCTCTCGTCGTCTACATTTACTATTCATGGCTCGTCGTGCATCGCTGACCCGCCGTTTAGTCTACTTGAGTATATAAAGTTCCATTGCATGCCTGAGCCACCAAATCTAGTACCCAGAAAATAAGCCTTACTTTGCTTACCAAATTTCCCAACCTTGCAAGTCCGTTCATACTAGCCCCCACACCGTCAGCACCGCACAGCTCGGTCTCATTTTCCCTTGCATATCAAAACCTAGAGCTTATCTCGCTCTACTTCTAGTTAGAAGGCTGTTTGCAGCCTCGTTTCTTTATCCACCACACAACGGCTTCCTAAGGGCAGGACGCCGCAAGATTCACCTCTCATGGTAATCTATATCAAGGCTGTACCTCTCACCCACTTCAACACATCATCAACCCATCCCTACCTATTCTCCCAGCCTTTAACATCTCCACTCCTTCAAGACCAATCCCCTATTCATCTCTCCACCATGACAATCCTCACCAACCTCATACTTCTTCCCCTCACACTCCTCACCACTCTCACCACCTCCTCCACTGCTGCTACCCTCGAAACTCCCAAATCCCGTACCCTCCACCCCGAACTCAACGCCGCCCTCCGTACTGCAGCCACATCTTTCGACCGCGCGGCCCTCCTCCCCAACAACGCAGACTGGACCTACGACTTCACCAAGCACCCCAACTATGACTCCCCCACCGGCGCCGTCATTAACGCCGACGCCGCCACCTTCCCCGCCGTCACCGGCCTCGGATCCAGCGTAGCTCTGCTGAAACTCGCGCCGTGCGGCATGCTGCCCCCGCATTTACATCCGCGGGCCACAAATATCGTGACTGCGATTACGGGGAATACGACGACGTGGATGATTGGGGAGAATGGGGTGGGTGTGAGGAGGGTCGAGTTGCTGCCGATGATGGTGACGGTGTTTCCGCAGGCGAGTTTGCATATGATGCAGAATAACGGTATGTTTTCCCTTTCTTTCCCTTTCAAAATCCCATTAGCCAAGCCGTACTTGTGGTGTTGGTTATATTTGGGTACTATTTAGTACATACTTCCTAATCGGGAAAGTCTCGGTCTTTTTTTTTTACCAAAAAAAAGAGTGGGAGGGTTTACTCATCGACTCCCTTCCCATTAAGGAAAAAAATATTGCGTGGACTACAACATCGCACTAGTTTATTTTACATTTACTAATCTCCCAAATATAGACTGCGAGCCCTCATTACTCATCTCCTCGCTTAACAGCGATGACAGTGGTACGCTGAATATTCTGCCTAGTTTGTGGTCTGTACCACAAGACATCATCGGTGCGGGCTTCGGCAACGATGCGTTTAACGCAGCGGATGTGGGCAAGGATATTCCTGCTGTAGGTACAGGTGCGATTATCGGGAGTGCGGAGTGTAAGAAACGGTGTGGTATCTCTACTTGAGTATGAAAAGGATGAGGAGATTTCTATGCTGGAGCAAAGGGGGAGTTTTGGATGGGAAACGTATGTTGTGGGAGGTTTGTGTTGTCGTTGTTCTTTTCACCTTCTTGCTTTTTGGGTTCTGGAGACAAGTGCTATTGTTCTTCGTTAGGAAAAGGAAAATATGTCAATGCAATGCCGCTGTTCTTCGGTCCGGGAAAAAGTACAAGAAAAGGGTGTCAATGCGATCGGGCTTTTTTACTCTGCTTCTTTTTTTTGTTTTTTGACGCTTCAAACGGTAATGTGGCGTTTTGATGCAAGAAGCATGGTATGACCCTGTGATGACAAAAGCAACGATGGCGATGAAGAGAAAAAGGAGAAGAATACACGCCAGCAACCAAACATGGATTTCCTGTTTCTTCCCCTTGTTTATATTTCGAATCTTCATTTACAATCCAAGCACATCTGACATCCCTACCTTCACTATCCTCTCGCATTCCACCACCATCAGCGACTCCCTGGTCCTAGCTGAGACTGCGCTTGGTATAGAATCGCCTAGTGATGGGCTAGCCGGGTCCCATTCCTTAGGTTATGTATATAGAAGATACGTTTCCGAGTCGCTAGGGGTAGTGAAAAGTGTGGCTAGTGCTACCACTGTATGATGATGTTTGCGTATGCAAGGGTCGAGCAAGGTTGGCGTTTTGGAGTTTGATGGTCTTGTGAGAGATAGAAAACGATATTACCATGTCCTTGTCTGAGCACATTGAGAATTACTCTACTGGCCCTCCCCTTGCTTCACAATCCTACTATATCACCAAAGGAAAGGTCTAACGTCGCTTCTCACGCCTTCTTCGGACCGGGGGTTAAGCCATCTCAGGCATTGGCCCGTCCGGCACCGTACCTGCCGTGGCTTATCTGTGCCGAGACGGTCTAGGTACAGAGCAAAAGCATCAGCACTCGAACCATTAACACAATAGCCACGTGATTTATATTCCGCCCCCACAATGCGCTTAGGGCTGATAAACCCATATGCAGTAGCCTGCACGTAAGAATGTGAGTGAGACCAAGTTTTTGTCATGCATCCACTAGGCCAAATTCCGACCGGCCGCGGCTCGGCATCAATCTCCATAGTCAGACTGCCACCCGAACGGATCGGAATGTGTTAGTCGCTTCTTTTTCATTTGTGTTTCAAGGCCATGCCCTTCAAGTCGCTTCTCCTGAGGTCCTAAAATTGGAGAAAACAAGACCTGGTCCTTCCCCGGAAAGTTTCGAAGACATGTGAGTAATGACTTCGTCTGACCAACGAAATGCATCGACCTGCTGGTAGTCAAGGAGAGAGTTCAACCCTCTGACTATCCACTCTTTAACATCCTGGGCGCAAAACTCATATGCAACGACAAAACTAAGGCCCGTGTGAAACGCGCCTATTGGTCTACTAGCCCAGGCGTCTTCCCATGTCTTGCAGATTTCGAGAGCAATGTACTGGCATTCGAATTGCATCTCGTATATGCTTCGGTCGAAGGGTGGCAGGAGTCGCATTAAAATCTTGTTCGTCAGGATAACGACAGACCAGAAGCAGTTGTATGCGGTCATGTCCCTCCAATGGTTGAAGTGGTATATTGTGCGTACCGGGCTACCCCTTTCGCTGGGTTCTCTCTCGGATGCAACGGTCCCGTTTCTGAGTTTCGCATCCATGTGTTCGCCCAGGGTACGAAGGGCATCCTTGAGGTTGCGTACCTTTTGCAGTAAGGCAGCACGTGCAGGATCGTATGGACAGGCATATGAATTTGGATCGACCGGGTAGGACGCATCGATGGGCTGTAATTCGTCTAGGAACTCCATATCATCGAAGGATCCCGAGGAAAAGTCAAGTGATGGGGGAGTCTCGGATGAAGACTTTTGTGATTGACCACTCGAGTCAAAATTGAGGCCCGAGATGCGTGAAAGTTGAAAGACACGTTGGTCACCTAGGTCTTTCAGCTCGTTGAAGATACCTGGCAACTCTGCCATATATTGCATCAAATCGGTGTTCAAGCAATCATCGAATCCCAGTCCCGTCTTGTCGAAAGCTATCTCCCGCCAGCCGGGTGAGGCAAGGAAGCACGGTTTACGTTCGTACATGCAAGTAATAATCTGTCCGCGTGTCAGCTGAGAACGTAATGTGTCTCGGTCGGAGCTATGGAATAAAGTGGCTCTGTCCATGGATTATAGAGGTCGACATACGATTCCACCTCGGTTAAAGCGTAGCATCTCCTTTGTAAAAGTGTCGTGATATCTTCCCGGACCTTGCAGTTCCATCAATCGCCCAGCGCCTCCTACATGGGTCAAATATCGATTCCCCGTCCTGGGTCCTGCGAACGCCTGATGGTGTAAGTATGGTTACGAAGATAAAATCTGACCAAGCAGATCTTACCTCAACCAAACCCAAGAGTACTGATGCGCAGAGTGTCTCGGGTGACAAACCGAGCTGTGGATGCTCGAGGCATGTTTGCAACGTCTTGATGGCCCGAATATAGAGTTCAGGAGAAACAATCTCATTCGCTGCCTTCTTGTAGACCAACGATGTGTGGACATTGACGAGTACAGTAACAGCGGCGTCAAGCGCAGGATTGTGTCCAATTCTAGCCGGGACTTCTTGGATAAAGGATCCAAAGACGGACATTCGATGTCCAGCACTCCCGGTTCTCGTAGCTGCGATCAAAGCATGCGCGAGCTGCTGATCTTGTGATGGTGACGGGTGTCTCGGGAAGGGTGACTTGGGCGGGCTGAACCCCGCTGAGATTGAGCGCGGGGACCTTTTTCGAGGCGTCGAACCGCTTTGCGAAATCCTGAACTTGTGGACCACTGAGCCATTTTCGGCGAACTTTTCGTTCAACTGCGTCAAGCGGTTGTGCCCTTGATCTATGGATTTCTGTGAATATATAGCTTTGGTTTCGGTTAGTATAGCATACCTGGCGGTGCACTGGCTTCATCGCCAGCGAACCTTGTAGAGTTTGCGTTAAACCTGGGACCGAGGTCTCTGAAGGTGTGTCGAGCTGGGGGACCTGGGCATGACTTGCCGTTCTTTTGGCAGTTTACGCAAGTTGGCCAGGTCTCATCTTGTTCATCATTAGCCAGGGTGCTCGAGTCGGGCCCAAGCCATGGAGCTAGCCTTACCGCACTCTAGCAATAGTCAGAAGAAGCTCGCGCGGAGGAGAGATCCGGCGACTTACTAATTTTCCTTTTCCGGCAGATGAGGCACCCCGTGCTTTTAGGGACGCCGACCATACTTTGCAGCTGGCGCACCTATTGAGGGCTGGGAACACGTCGGGTCAGTAATCCGATGGGTGGTGGGATGAAGCCGTGGAATTAATAAAGACATGAGAAGGTGAATTCAAAGCATTCGCGGTCGACGCACATGAATAGCCATTTGGCGGTTGGACGATGCTGTGTATGAAGTATGCGGGATGTCCGTATCCACTACGCTTCTTGGACAAGCTTCCACATTGTGGCTTCGGGCAGGGCTTAGTGCAACAGGGCTGGGTTTTCACATCCCGGACTGGCGGTGGGCGTTTGGTGGAAGATGAAGCTTGCCGACTCACGTGTTCGCAGCATGAAGCCCAAGGAGGCTAGTCCTGACGCGTATACGACCGGGGCGCGATTGATTGGCCGGGCTGGATATGACGTTGGGGAGACAGAGAGTGGTCTCGGGTAGTGTCGTGACTGCGACGAGGCTAGAAGGACGGCCGAAGACGGTGCGTGAGCCGGTCAGATGGCCTGTGTTCACTGTAGCAAAGTGTGGGCGAACGACGGAAGGCCCGACTGCAAGGGCAGCGACAGCCACAGCCAAGCCCAAATGCCCCAGACACCAACCGCAGCACACCCTATGGCATCCCCAAACTCGTGATGAAGGCTTAATACACACATACATGCCCACTCCCGACCGCTCGGCTTCTCCGCTGGCGCCCCGTCTGCTTACCATCCCCTTTCCCCGCTGCTAGAGCCCACACTATACGATACACATGGACCGCAAGCCATCATCTTGTGACTCCCACACCGTACAAGATCGTCGCTGCTCCCCAGCGCCCAAGGCGGACATGGACGACTATGGCAAAAGGAGCCTCATATGCTATTCGCGCGGAGATATATGTTCAAAGCCACCACCGTTTCCAACGTCTGCCACTTTACCGACGGGCATTCCGGCCGCCACAGACGCAACTAAAGTGATGTAAGAGGGGCCCTACTACCGCTTGTAGGGCTGATAAGATATCTGCAGCCTAAATCTGCAACTGAGTGGCAGGTACGAGCCCTCTATGCGTTGTCTGCTAGCAATCGTGGACCATCGGTGTGCATTGAGGCGAAGTACAGTGGTAGCTATAGGCACGTCTAACTAACCTCCTCCACCGCCTTATACTACAAACCTCGGTTGTTACTTACTTTTGCGTACGGCGTATCGCTACTCCAACGGTTTAACCGCGCTCGTGATCCGGAAAGTCTGCCTACTGTATCCGCGGGAGGATCGTGGCAATGCCTATTCGCCTTCGCGGTCGCCGTCACAAAACTCCTTATTCCCGGCCCGCACACAGCCCTACTCCTGTAGCACGCAGTTCAAGACCCGGCTATATCAGTTGTATACGCTCCAAAGGGCCGATTGTGACAGACAGACGCTATTGTATGCAATGGTTGCATTTCGACCACATTTCAGCTAGGAATTAATATCGCCGTCTCACTTCTGGTCACTGCCGATTCTACTACCTAAGGCCTCGTCGCAGCGTTAGCGCCCAAGGGATAAGCTTGCTGACCCTCCTGCAAATGGCCCACCAATAATTATCATCCAGTAGTTGCAGATTTAATTTACTTAAGGCAGGGGGTTGAGCATATTACAACCATGACTTGTATCATCCACATACACAAGCCTCTTTCTGATGGCAGTATACTCACTCCTTCCCTATGTATTATCTAGCGAATTTTCTGTGCTCATTACGCTGTATAGATTCCGACAAAGCATATCGTGACCGAATCGACGCTTCTAAAATGCCAACCCAGGATATCCTCAGATGTGAAATTGTCCACGCCCTACGAGACCCATGCACCGAATACGCCCCTTTCAAAACTAGCTAGTCCAAACATCAATCAAAAGACTAGCGAGAATTATACACTCGAGCCGAGCCTTTCGCTGCAGCCATATACCCCCACATGCGTCATCCATCTCGTCGGTGGCGGCGGTAAGCAGCCTAGGTGCTTTGGTGCTTATTCTTCTATGTCATCCTCCTCTTCACTCTCGACCTTCTTCTTGGCCGCTTTCTTGCTCTTAGGCTTCGCGTCTTTGGCCGTCTTTCTTTGTACTTGGTCACCAACACGCTCGCGTTCACCAGCGCCTTCATCTCGAAGACGTGCACTCAGTGTCTTGAACTCCTCAGAATCGATATCCATGCCAACAAGGCTTTCCAGCATTTTGATCTCCCGGGCCCAGACACCCTTGTCCTCGACCTTCTTTCCATTCTTGTCAGTCACGTCGATTGGTGTCTCGAGAACCATAGGAAGGCCATGAAAGCGCTCATCATTCATCAGGTTATAGAAGGATTCGAGCCCGAGATAGCCAGTGCCGATGCGGGCATGAAGATCACGATGGCTTGACAAAGGAGCCTTACTGTCGTTGATATGGAAGGCCTTGAGATACTCCAAACCGATCTCCTCGTCAAACTTCTTCATCGTTTCAGCATATGCTTCGGGGGTGCGGAGGTCATAACCAGCGGCGAAAACGTGGCACGTGTCTAGACAAACCCCTACACGACTCTTATCATCGACAAGCTTGATGATGGCTGCGAGGTCTGAAAAGGTGCCACCAATGGTATTGCCAAGGGTTGCCATGGTTTCAAGAACTGTAACAACTTTGCCAGTCTCCGGGTCTGCATGTGCCTTGTTGAGATTCTCAGCAATGATCCGGATGCCTTCTTCGTGGGTGGTCGCGTTAGCATTGCCTGGATGAAAGTTGTAATACCGAATACCGAGCCTATGGCAACGCGTCAAGTCATTGAGAAAAGAGTCATAGGCCTGTTTCTTGCGTGCAGGATCCGGATGTGCGAGGTTGACCAGGTATGAGCCATGAGGTAAGCAGCACTCTGCGGCGTCTATGCTATGGTCTTTGCACCACTGGACGAAGAATTGTGCATGCTCTGGGTCCATATCGACCGTTTCCCACTTGCGTTGATTCTTCATGAACATAGCAAAGGCGTTACCACTAGCAACGTCAGTTCTAGTCATGTATAGTATGCGCCTCCATAAGGCGTAACTTCTGAAGTGCAAGAGGTAGAGTACTTACCCAATATGCACGACGTTGATAATAGCATTGTGTACGCCTAAAAGGGGGTTCGGTCCATATCAGCCGATGTTCTAAGTAAAGCAAAATGGATGAGCATAACTAACCTCCGGCAATGCTCACATGGGCGCCAACTCGCAGCTTGATATCCTTGGTACGCTCTGCTATGGGTGGTAGAATCTTCGCCGGCTTGGCTTTAGATTTGGTAACCTTTTTAGGTTTGTCTTCATCGACGTCTTCAGCCTTCTTTTTCGTAGATTTGGCAGTCTTCTTGGTGACTTTATTGTCTTCAACTGTGTCGTCCTCATCGGACTTTGCCTCTACTGCGGCTTTCTTCACAGTGCTGCGCTTTGGTTGTGTTGATGGCTTGGCGTCTGCATCGTGCTCTTGAGCAGCCACCTTCTTGATTCTTTTCGAGGCTTTCTTAGGCTTGCCTTCGCTGTTGTCACTTTGTTGATCGACCATCTCGTCATCGGTTTCCTGTTCATATTTCACCTTCTTCGTTGCACGCTTGCTAGTTCGAGGTGAATTGGAGGTGACTGCAACAGCCTCCTCTACCACGGTGTATTGGGCTGTAGCCTTTTTCGTACGCGAAGTTGTCTCCACCTTTCTCTTCCTGCCATTTTGTGTAGACTGAACGATAGTAACAGATTCGGTCACTATGTTTACTTAGTCAGAAATTGATGAGAGTGAGGAGCTAGAAGTGGTACCTTCGAGTGGCTTAGCCATGATGTATGAGGCTTGAAGATTATTGCTAATTGCAGTCGGAGTTTGTGAGCTAGCAAAGACTGTTGATACTGTGGAGAAAGGACTGAGGAACTCCCTAAGGTTATGAGGCGGTAGGCCAGTGATTTGAGTAAAAGAAGTGAATGGTAATGAGCGAAAGCGGTGGCGACAAGGTAAACAGCTCAATGGACCCCTGAAGGCATTTGCGGACCAATTTCTGGGTGATGGTCGGCCTGGGCGTGTCGAAGCGGGCTTTGCCTTATCAAAGACAGGTAAACGTGGTTTTTCGTGTAAAAATGGAGTTTGGATCCAGCAATTGCTGTTTGTATCCGGGAAGGTGAAATAGGGGTGCGGCTTCGACAACGGGTGGTGTAGGAGATAGCGAGTGTATGCAAAAACTGTAAAAGAGCGACAGCGAAGAGGGTACAAAACAGAGTTCTCTATTTTCGCACAGTCTACTCTCATATAGAAGTAATGAAGGATGTGAAGACTTGATGCAACTATAGAAGGAAAGATGCAACAGACGTCATTAACAAGGGACGCGTTCAGTATAAACGCGGGCTCACATGCGCTGCTTAACCCCGCGTTAAGTCCGCAACACCCAAAAAATTATCCCTATATCCAACAACCGACACCAACTTGTCACTAGCAGCGTCACATCCTCACATCCACTAGAGACACCTGGTAGATCAGAAACATTGTTTCGCTTGTATTTCTGTAATAGAACCCGACTCGCTACGATCGCTATAAATCCCGCCGACGACGCTCCAGAACCTACCCACAACCACTCAAGATGCCGAAAGCAAAGCAAAAGCGCAGCAAAGGTGCTGACAACAACTCTTCGCCCTACTCGAAACCGACATCAGCCAAGGCGGCAGCGGCTCATTCAATTTTCAAGATGGACAAGGACCTCGGCCAGCATATCCTCAAAAACCCTGGTGTCGCAACGGCCATTGTTCAAAAAGCGCACCTCAAGCAAAGCGATCACGTCCTGGAAGTCGGTCCTGGTACCGGTAACCTGACTGTTCTGATACTCAAGGCGGTGAAGCAAGTGACAGCCGTAGAAATGGATCCGCGAATGGCAGCAGAATTGACAAAGCGAGTACAAGGCTCACCGGAAGAAAAGAGACTGACAATACGGCTGGGCGATGTGATCAAGGCCGAACTTCCACGATTCGACGTGTGCATCAGTAACACACCTTACCAAATCAGTTCTCCCCTGGTCTTTAAACTACTCGCGCTGCAATACCCCCCGCGGTGCTGCGTACTCATGTTCCAGCGTGAATTCGCCATGCGCCTATTCGCGCGACCCGGCGAAAAACTCTACTCGCGCCTCTCCGTCAACGTGCAAATGTGGTCCAAAGTCTCGCACGTCATGAAAGTCGGGCGCAACAACTTCAACCCCCCTCCCCAAGTCGAAAGCAACGTTGTGCGCATCGAGCCCAAGAACCCGCGCCCGCAAATCGCATATGAGGAGTGGGACGGTTTGTTGCGAATCTGCTTCGTCCGAAAGAACAGAACGCTGCGCGCTAGTTTCATGGGTACCGCAGCCGTCCTCGAACTCCTCGCTAGTAATTACCGTCTCTACTGCGCACAAAATGACATCCCCGTCGACGACACACCGCTTGATCCCAGTGAAATCACCGCAGCAGAAGAGGCCGAAACCATGGATGTAGACGACGAGTTCAAGGGCTTCTCTGATCCCGACGAGCCAGACGATGAGCTCCCTGATTTCTTCAAGCAGCTCCAGGCTGAAAGCAAGAAGAGCAAGAACGGGGCGAATCGCAAGCGCAAGGGTAGGCTCGCAGAGCTTGTGCGGGAGAAGGTTAGGAAGGTGCTTGAGGATGAGACGCAACTTGCTGATAAGCGAGCGCGGTTGTGTGATGAAGCCGATTTCTTGAAGCTGCTGTATGCGTTTAATCAGGAGGGTATACATTTTAGCTAAGAAGGCAGGAGTGGACGTGAACTAGGGGGCAAGTAAGAGGTCGCATTGCATGGCGTTTTGGGATGCTTTCATCAAGCACAATGGCGTTCTGGCTGGAAGTTTCTTTTTATGCGGATGAAAAAGGCATGATTTGGGAGTTGATGTACTATGCGTCGAGACATTGCGTTGCCTCACATGACGTAGAGAAAAAGGATGGGCAAGATTGCCTACTCGGCATTTGAGCAATAGTACGGGGTATCTAAAACTACCTACTTCATTACCTCTAGTTTCTTTCTCTCTGATTTTCGTTCTTCGTGTCTGGGAAAACCAGGTTACGCTCATGTCTCAGCAAAAGGATTCGGAGGCAAAGTATCATGCTCATATCCGTTACTTTCCTCCTGCTTGATCCCGTTCTCGACGATTGTCTCCTCATATCCATTCGTCTTTTCTTCTTCTTTATCGTCTCCGCCTTCTCTCGGTCTCCATAACCTCAAAGTACGATCTAGTCCCGCGCTAGCAATCAGCTTCTCGGAAGGATGCGTGTGGACGCTCAATACGGCGTCTGAATGGCCTTCGAGCCGTTGAAGTATGTTTTTGCTACTCACATCCCAGAGGATGACACTGTTATCTTCACTGCCAGATGCTATGAAAGCATATTCCTGGCCAGCCTCACAATCGCCGTATGTGCCAAACGTACCCAAAAGCGAGTACTTCTTGTTTGTGTGTCCTTGGTACGTCTTTACACACTTGCCTTTCCCTTCAATATAATTCCATAGCCGGATGCAGGAATCCAATGTCCAGGCTAGGATGTACTTTCCGTTGGGTGAAAATATGACCGACGATACAGGCGCATTATCTTCGTGGACGAGGGTGCGGAGACACTGACCGGTTGCCGTGTCCCAGACACGGATGAGGCCGTCGTGTGAGCACGAGACGATGAGCGTGCCGTCGCGAACGAAATCGACACCGCCGACTGGGTCGCTGTGTGCGGGAAGGGAGCGCATAACTCGAGCAGCGCGCACATCCCAGAGATATACTGCTTCGTCGTAGGAGCCAGAAACAAGCATGTTGCCCTTTGGACTGAACGCTATACTGTATATATAGTTGTGATGACCGATGAACGGAATGGGATGTGCCAGGCCGGTTGCTGTATCCCATAACCGAATGCTCTTATCGTCTGAGCCGCTTGCGAGGATCTTGGAATCTAGCGACCAGCATATTGTGCTAACACCGGCGAGGTGACCCTCAAGTGTGTGTTCAAGTGCGCCGGTCTTGGCATCCCAGATCTTGATGGTACAATCTGCAGACGCAGAGGCCAGCCAGCGGCCGTCTGGAGAAAACTTGACACAGGTAATGCCTTTCTTGTGGCCGCGCAGAATCAGGGTGGGAGAGTAGTTTAGGGAGGTCGGTTTTGGTGGTGGTGCAGGAGAGGTGCGCCGTCGTCGATTTGGCGATGAAGAGCTCGAACGTGGTGAGCGTGACCTTGACCGTGAGTAAGACGGTCTTCTATCTCGATATTCCCGCTGTTCATCATCGCTGTTGTCTCTGCTATACCGGCGCGCAGGCCGTTCTGCTAGCCTGTAACTTGGTGAGGCATTGTGCGGTGTGTGGGAGGGGGAGCGTTTTCGCGGCCGCTCATCGTCATACGCATCCTCGTCCTGATGTCGTCTTTTGGGCGAGGGAGATGGGGTGCCGTCCATCGCTGAATGTGAAGGAGCCAGTTGTTTGGTGTTGGACTGGGAAAACGCGACGGATCGGCAATATGGGCGTTAGCGTGCGGGCGGTCAGGAGCACCCCTGCCGTATTTCAGGAACTATTTCCCCAGTTGCATCATTGCATTTGCACTCCGCTATTCTCCAGGTAATACATATTATATTCACCATGACTTCCGAGACCGGTCAATCACCCTCAAATATCCGAATTCTCTCCCTCAACTGTTGGGGTCTCAAATTTATTTCCAAACTCCGTAGCGAACGTCTTACCGAAATCGGTGTTCAAATCGCCGCTGCAAGTCCGCAGCCAGATATCGTTGGCCTACAAGAGTGCTGGACTCAGGAAGACTACCATGCGATTCGTGAGAAGACAAAGCACATACTGCCATATGGAAAGTTCTACCACAGTGGTATCTTCGGTGGCGGGCTAGTCATCTTGTCACGGTGGCCCATCATCGAGAGCAACATGGTGCGCTATCCGCTCAATGGACGGCCTGCTGCATTCTACCGTGGAGACTGGTTTGTTGGTAAAGGTGTTGCTTGTGCAAAAATACAAATGGGACCTTCCCGGGGAGATATTGCAGAAGTCTTCTGTACACATGTGTGTTCTCAATGCTTCTGACGGGTATTCGAAACGCACACGCTGACATGAATAGCTCCACGCCCCTTATGAGAGCGAACCCCACGACTCCTACATCTGCCACCGCACAGCCCAAGCATGGGAAATCACAAAGCTCATGCGTGCAGCCGCCGAACGTGGACATCTTGTAATCGGCATGGGCGACTTCAACATGATTCCGCTATCCCTCGCACACCGTATAATAGAGACGCACTCGCGAGTCCGCGATGTATGGCGCATATTACATCCTGATTCTTCGATCGGCGCAGCAAGGGACGAGGTTGAACGCCGTCGATGCGTACCAATGCCGTCTGCCGAGTTCAACATGACTATCAATGGAGCGACATGTGACAGCGAATTTAACTCCTGGAGGTGGAACAAGGGACAACAGAGGCGTCTTGCCAAGGGCGAAAACGTGCAGGTCGATCCTGCCGTCGAAGACCCCAATGCGAAGCGGCTAGATTACATTTTCTACAGCAGTGGAAGATTTCAGAACCCAGAGACACAGGAAGAGACAGCGGAGTGGGAGCTGAAGGAAGCGAATGTGGGCATGGCAATGCGCCACCCTACATTACACTGCTCTCTCAGTGACCATTTCTCCGTGGAGGCGACATTGACGAGGACTCCGACTGCTCTGGCAGCTGCTCTGCTATCTCCTTCGGCCCTACCCGAACGATTCCTGCCTATCGAGACTTACGACGAGATCCTGGCTACAACCATGAAGTACGAGGCTAGGGAGCGAGTGCAGCGCAAGCTACGAATAGGGCACTTCTTCTACCAACTATCATTCTCCATTGGGTGCCTGATTGGTGTGTGGTGGTCACCAAAAAACTATGTTGCTTTCATTTTGATGCTTTTGAGCACCCTGGGGTTCAGTGTGGGCGTCGTTGACGGATTGATGGGGCTGTTGTTTGTTGGTAGCGAGCTCAGGGCACTCAAGGAGTTTGAATGGGAGGTTAGGAATGCCCGGGAAAGGGCGTTGAAGGCAAGATCCAGGAAGACCACCTCCGAGGATAGCCAGGTGTCAGACGCGTCAGAATAATAATAATAATAATATGAGCTAGGATTGCAATCTATGCGATTATCGTCATCGCAGTGCTGCTGTGTCTCTGTTTCGATAGTCGGGAATGGCGCGTGCACGTGCTGTTGAAGGAACGCGCGACGGTTGGGTGCTGGCTTGGCTCCTCGATCAACCACGACTCCAAACCTCATCCTTCCGGCCACCATAATTCAGACGTAAACCCCCATCTCTCCGCGCGCCCACTCGTCTAATCGCAACAAGTACGCGATTCTAAAAGTCATATCCATATCCCACCGAATCTCGTACACTGCCTAGACGACCTTGATCGCGCGGTTCGGAAGTCCGCAGCCCTCACGATGAGCGAATCGCAGCCCCAGCCCCAGCAGCAGCCCAACAGCGGCCAGCAGCAACAGCTGCTACGTCCTGACGATATACTCAAACTGCAATGTCTTCCTGAAGACGAGAAGCAAAAGTATCGCTTGATCATGCAGAATTTCTGGAACATCTGCAACACGCACCAGCAGGGGAGCCAGGAAAATACCAATGCTCGCCAGAAGTTGACAGAATGGTCACAAAAGTTCATTACACGCGAGCGCCAATACAGGGCCAAGATGAAGGCACAGCAACAGCAACAGCAGGGAAACCAGAACCAGGGACAAGCAAGCCAGCCTAATGCCGTTGGCCAACAGAACCAGAACCCCGTCAAGCAAGAAGGCGGCCAGGCTCGCGCCGAAAACACCGCGGGGGCAGTCGGCCAACAGCAATCTAACCAAGGCCAAAACCAAGGTCGCGGCCAGGTGGATCCTGCTATAGTAAAGCACGTCCACGAATTCCCTATGCAGGGGCCGTTGACCGGACCTTCGCCGGGCACGCCCGAGTATGAGGTCAAGCTGAAAGAATATCGGACGGGTTACTTGAACATGCTAGCGAAGCAGGCTTCTTTGAACGAGAGTAGAAAGAAACTCATGCAACAACTGAGCGAACGACAAAGCAACGGACAAGATTTGCCACAAGATCTACTCGTCTTGAAGGGCAAGATCGAGAAGGAGCATACCAATATGAGGGCACAAATTGATAAGTTTCGAGCTTTGCAGAAGCAGTGGAAGGAAGAGCGCGAGCAAAACTCGCAGGGCCAGGCACAGGCGCAGACCCAAGGCCAAAACTCAGCACAATCACCGCCGCCACCGCAACAGCAGCAGTCGTCGCAACAACAACCTCAACCCCAGCCGCCTCAAAGACAGCCATCGCAGCCCAATGCCTCTGCGCAACCTCAGGTAAAAGAGGAGCCTCATATCAAGGTTGAGGGTGGACAGCCACAGCAGCCGCAACCACAAACGCAGCAGCAAACGCAGCAACAGCCACAACCTCAGCAATCCCAGCCCCAACAACAATACAACATCCAGGGAAACCAGGGGAATCAGCAACAACCACCGCAACAGCAACAGCAACTCAACCAGCAAATGCCACCTTCACTTCCTCAACAACAGGCTCGGCCACCAGTGCCTCACTCGCAAACAATGCCACCGAATCAAATGCCGCAATTCGCGCAACAGCAGCAACAAAACTTTCACCAGCAACAGCGACCTCAGATCAATCCCATGCAAGCCAACGCTCACCAGCAGAGCAATTCACCACACCCGCAGTCTGCAACCGGAACCGGTCCGCCAGTTCCCCTCTCTCACCAAGCTGCCGTTAGTGCTGCGAACCGATCCTACACCGACCCCCAGCGCACAAACACACCCATGCAGCAAGGCGGACAAGGTGGTAACTTTGGCAGTCGCGAGCGCGAGCAAATGAACAACCCCAAGATGCCGATCCCTCGTCACCTGAACGTAACCTCACCGCAAGCCGTCCACATGGGTCAAGCGCGGCCAACTATGAGTGGCCCTACAAACGGTGCGCCAGGACCAATGGGTCAGCCCGTCATCCCGCGACCACCGCCCTTCCAGCTTGAAGGTGACGGCGACCGTGTCCTCAGCAAGCGCAAGCTAGACGAGCTCGTCCGCCAAGTCACAGGTGGCTCAGAAGAAGCCCTTACACCAGAAGTCGAAGAGGTAAAGTCTTTCACTTCTCCAAAATTCACTAATCTCGCAACTAACATTGTTTTACCCAGGCTGTCCTCCAACTCGCAGACGACTTTGTTGATAATGTCATAAGCAACGCCTGCAAGCTCTCCAAACTCCGCGATTCTCCCCAGTTAGACATTCGCGATATCCAGGTCATCCTCGAGCGCAACTATAATATCCGCATCCCGGGCTATGCGTCCGATGAGGTTAGAACCGTGCGCAAGATTGTGCCTGCGCAGGGTTGGGCGGCCAAGATGAATGCGGTCAATGCGGCGAAAGTTATGGGTGGGAAAACAGATTTTTAGGCTGGTGGATTGGATGAGAGATGCGGGGAACAAGGGAGGAGGAGGAGAATGATGTCCATGTCTGGGGGTGTTATGAGAGTTGCTTTATTCCTTCTCAGGGTGGGGCTATTGATGTCAAGTCAATTCTCGACTCAACAAAATATCCAGGGCATACGAGGATGGTGATGCAGTCATGTAGAGGTGATTCAGCCTTGGAGGGATTGAGAAGTTTCTATTTTCTATTATTTACTACGGTTCATGAATTACTCAATATTGTCCTTGGTGTGTCCCAATTTTCGGTGAATTTTAAAGGCCGTCGGCAGCAATTGCCTTGAAAACAAATGGATCCTGGGGAATAAGTAGAAGAACTAGTAAGGAACCAAAATAGAAGCACTACAGGGCGCTGTACGTGACGTCAACTTTTTGCAAGGTCATACATGCGGCATGTAGAAGTTCTTGAGAGCTAATATCTAGTACATTTCCTAATTGTTACATATGTCCTTATACCAGGATCCTGCCTAAGTAAATTACACGGATCGAGCAAAAGATAAAAAACGAGCAAAAACATACGACAGCGGGGATTCGCCAGTGGTCACCCACCTGACTACTAATCCGCCGGTAAACTGCTTATATATGCCAGATCAGACGGGATGGCTAGCTCTCAATTTCCGGTGGTCGTATGTACCAGAATACCAAAGATGAACCTTTCATATTCGCAGAAAATCAATCTTTGCGGACTTGGAGAAAGAACAAGAAGGGCTCACGTGACGTTATCGATATCTCAAACCTGGCTTGGCACCGCCAGTGAGGCCACAGTCACGTGCATAGAGTACATAGTCTCATCCGAACCTAAGGTAACTCCTCAAGGATTCGTCTCAATTCATTCTGACTGATATACTTTTGTGCCTATCTGCAAGACAACTCATAGCTGTATTCACCGTCGTCCCTATCAATACTATATCCACTACGCTTTGCCTCACGGATTCTAGGCCCAGCACGTGCACAATTGCCGTGCTATGCATGTCTATATAGCATGACCAAGTGCTCAGAGTGTTGGTTTGCCAATGCCGCACTTTAGAGGTGGTAGAGGCATTCTCTATAGTAGAATAACAGTAGTATTCTTAGTTTGTAGCTTCGCATTACTTAGTAGTAATCTGCAGCACCATTAATCTTTCAGCGTTCTTGCGCTACGCTGTTACAAGTAATAAGCAGAAGGATCTCTTCCCCTGCTGACCACGATTGGTTAGGGAAAATTACATCGGATCGCGTCAGAGGTGATAATTCCCCGCAGGGCAGAAATCACGTAATAGAGCCTCCTGCCAAGGATAGGATTTTAGTATAGCAAGGGTAAGTAACATCTCCGTTTGACTTCGCGAAGAACTTTGGTTATTCAAATATGAGTTCATTTCTCATAACTCTACATAGAGATATACATATACATATACACCAGCTCCTTAATGCCGGTCACCTGCCTTGTCACGTTATACACTAACAATTTGCCAAACAGACCCAGGTACCATCCGAACAATACTCAATCATCCTGAGCATACTTTTGGGTGATGGCACGAATCTTTGGTCCAAAGAAGTAGACAGGAATGCCCAGACCTATAGAAGCTGCTACAATACCTGCGCAGATATTGAATGCACCTTCATACCCTGCCTTCTCCACAAAGCTGACTGTGCCAAAGGAGATTCCGAACCCGATGAAGCCTCTCAGAGAGCAGATGAGAACAAGGGCAGCATCAATACGCTGAGGGTAGGCATCCATGCAGTAGACGAAACTGGATACGACGATACCCACGAAGCCAAAGTACTCAAAGTTGAGCGTAACAGCGATACCTGCCCAGCTCCAATCATTAGGGTTCTGCGCAGTCATTCCGAAGATAATGGTCGATATGAGTGTGGACAATAGTGGGATGATGAGAGCAATGTACCGATACTCAGGCTGACTGACGCCGTTATGCCTCTTGCTCAAGATTTTGACTACCAAGTCGCTCAAGTATCCGCAGAAGAAGGGAACGGCAACTGCGGTAGCAATTTGTCCAGCGAATACGTAGCCCAGCATATCAAAGTTCCAGAGATATGGGGGTTGTACAAGGACACCGGCAAAAAGTGCCGACATGAGCACATAGATGCCGAGAGCCACGGAGTTGATCAAGGTCAGCCAAAGAATGTTGGGAAACCAGATGATCTGGATCATGTGCTTCCAGCAGGTGATTGCTTCTGACCAGCGTGCATAGCCTTTCCAGGGTAGCATGTCTCGAACAAAGCTACGCGGTGCGTAATTAACTGTATCGAGTTTACGCTTTGTGTTTGTCGTTACCGGAACTAGCGTTCCGTCCTCGTCGATACCTTGGCCAGCTGTGCAATGTTAGCATCTCAGCCAAAGCAGAGAATCTGGTCATGACTTACTCAGTGCTTCTAGCGTGCGCTCGTAATGTGTTTCGACCACAAAGATGATACTGAGAAGAGCAATAGCTCCACTCAGGCAACCAAAGACGCCATACCACCACCTCCAGCCAAGATCGTTTGCGAGGTATGAGCTTGAGACAATAAGCGCTGCCGTACCAAGCGTCTGGAGTGCGCAGAACCAAGCAATCACGTTTCCTCTCTCATGCAAGTAGAAAATCTCTTGCACAATGATGGGACAGAGGGCTTCAGCTTGGCCTGCAGCAATGGACATAATGTCTCTCCCGGCGATATGTGAGGCCAAGCTGCCGCTGCATGCGCACCAGAGGCAGCCGAAAGACAAGACAATTGTCGAAATGAGGTACACTGGCCTTCGCCCGACGGCATGAGCAACAGGGATCGCGATCAGATTTCCAACACCCATGAAGAATGCTGGCCAAGTCGCAAGGTCGCTTGTCTTTGGATCTCCATTATACGACGCTTTTACTATGGGCAGAATGGCACTAATTCCGCTTGCCATAAGGTTGGCGGACGCTGCGAAGAGGCCGACTATGACAAGGATGGTATACTTTTGCCATGTTGGAAGGTTTAGAGGATCTGGTATTGGTCAGTCTGGTTTCGCAACTGAACATCCACCTGGCTGTCGCTCACCATTGGGATCCCTGGTCGGAGTCGGGATGAGAACGATGCCATCGTCATCGAAGAGTCTGATAGTACCCACGACAGGTTTTGCAGCCTTTTTGTGCGCATCAATAATTTCAATGTGAGCGCTGGCCTCGGACTTGGGGTCGTGAGCAGCCATGATGGGAGGGCGTTGATGAAAGTCAACTACATGGCGTCGTCCACAATTTGTAGTGCCCAAGTGCCGAGGGTAGACATTGCTGGCGTGGTTGGGCCATTTTGTCAATGAGACAGATAAAGGATTGCTCTTTGACATCTCCCCCGAGCTGGGCCGCCCAGCCCAATAAGTACGCGTGCGGATTGTGGAGGGGGCGGGTTTAGAGTGTGGGGATAGGTGGGTCCAGGCAGGGGGGAATTGTTTCGCGGGGAAGTAAAGCCCGAGCGGTAGGTTAGTAGTAGGAGCCAACTTCAGCCTCAGTCATGCTCGTCTCGCCAGCAAATCATCGTTATCATCAGTGTCATTACCATCATCATTCTAGTCAAGATCACCATAATAACCATAGTCAACGACAACACCGACAATAATACCCACGGTTCAATGAGTGAGCCCGCCATCAAGACTTCGCAGCGCGTGTCACGGTCGTGCATCGAGTGCGGGCGCCGCAAAATCAAATGCGACAAGAAGAGCCCCTGCCAGCCATGCATCCGCAGGAATGCTGCCCACGAGTGCAAGCGGCCGATTGCACGGGTGAGGGGCCAGTTGACTGTCTACACGGCCGAAGACGCTGGTAGCCCAGCAGACATTCAACTGCAAGACTTGCTCCGTGAACGCAATGCCCTCCAGGCGCAAATTGCCGAGCTCGAGACGGCTCTTGCTCTGTCCAAGCCATGTGGCCACAGCCGCACCAGTGAATCCACAGATTACACACAGCCCGCAGCAACACTCGAGGACCTAGTTCCGGCCTTTGAGCAGTTCGATCTCGGCATCAAGGTGGGCGCAGCCGCCCGAGCCGGGGCCGAGAAAGCGATTCTCAATGGTCTCTACGAGCCCGCAGCTGATCCACTATTTCTGCTTCTTCCGAGTCGGGATGCCAGCCTTGGCATTGTAACTTTTTCCCTGCAAACCCTTGGCTGGATACACTGTGCCGTCAACGCCAACGACTTCCTGGCCGAGCATCACGACTTTTGGAAAAATGTAGAACTTGGTACCGGCATCAAGCCCGAACAAAGGCCATGGGTTGCTCTTTATTTTGCTGTCCTGGCTGTCGGCATCCTCTATTCCGACCCAGAAGATGTACCGAGTGCAGCCCACCTTCCCCAGCTCGGCATGCCTCGTGCTGATCCTATTTCCCTTGCTGTCGATACTTCTCATCTCTGGTATGAGGCTGCACTCAAAGAACTACAAAGACACGGCTTCAGCGGTACTCCGTCACTTTGCACTGTCCAAGCTATTGTAGTCTTAAGCCTATGTCACTCCAACTTTGGCGAGCACCAAAGGGAATGGCTCATTTCTAGCTTTGCAACAAGCATGGCAAGGCTTCTCGACATGCACAAGCTTGGCAATGAAACAAACTGCTCAAAGGATATTTGTCGAAGGCCAGAATGGTCTTCACCTGTGCAGCGCGAATTGGGTCGTCGTTTGTGGTGGACCTGTGTCATTCGCGACTGGTAAGTGTTACGTTACTGTGGAATACATATTATCAAGCCACATGTCACTAATAAACAGTGTACAGGCTTGGGAGCTGGGTTCGACCGCCATCCATATCACCCGCCAGCTTTTGCTGTCAGGCTTCTACTGCAAGCAACCATGGAGAATACTTCATGCCTAGCTTCTACACGATTGGTAGTCCTGACTCCACCGAATCTACCAATTTAGAGCCTCCTTCTCCTGCACATTACCACTCAATCTTGTGCCGTCTTTCTTACATAGTATACATTTACATCAAAGCAAATACTCACCAGACTCACCTGAAGTTTGTAAAGGCTATAGAGGAGATCACTGCCGTCCGGAGAGATCTACCCCTCCATCTATCGCCAGGCTTCCCTGCCAACGAAGATGATATAATATGGGAATCTGAGTATCCTTGGGTTTCATTCCAGCGATACCTAATTGCTTACGTTTTCGACTTCCTCCTGTTGTCCATCGCCCGTGTACTCAACCCACATGAATCCAGAGATGATAGTACGAATTACAGGCAACTTGCCCTTGAATCGGCCAATCGCATCTTGGACCACTATGCGAAGCCGGTCCCAAGAGTATATAGGCTAGTGTGGACCGTATCAGCAGCAACGGTCGCTGCCGCTGTCTACATATCGCTAGATATGCTTGCCAACTCCCACGATTATCGTGGTGATTCCCGAAACCACATCATCGGTCTATTGAGACAGGCTTCTGTCGAGTTGAAGAAGCACGCAGCTGTCGCCGTCCACGCTGCCAAAGGTTCCGCAATGATCGAAGGTCTTTTGCCTCTACTAGAGCAGCATGATTTTGATCGTCCTCGCACTTCTTATTCCATGCAAGACCTGCTGCAGCAGCTTGCAGTAGCAGATCTAGGCGTGCCGTCCAACCCATCGATCAACACGGGTCCTGTAATCGACGGCTTGCCTCACGTTAGCAACGGCGACACCATGGGTATCTTTGATGGAACTGGAAACACAATCGACGGAACTTATGCAATCACAGAATGGGAGCATGTGTTCTCACAGTTATAACTAGCGTTTTATACAAAATTTCGCTGCTGTACTACAGAAACCAAAACACCACCGCTATTACGCTCTCAGTACGGCTTGACTCCCGCCAATTTCAGTAGTTTGTCTGTCAACTCGGGCTTCTCAAGCGGCTCAGTTCTCTCCCAAGGATCAACCTCACCATCCACTTTGGCTTTCCCTTGCGAATGGATGTTGATGTGCGGCCAATGTGTTGTTGCTTCCCATTTCTCGAATATCTCTTTCTTCTTCTCCAAATCCTCTTTGGATGCCATGGCCGCTGGTGTATAACAGGCGTATATGATTGTGCGGATGTTGTCCGTTTCGGGGTACACAGCGTAATGCATCTGCCGCGAATCCCAAAGGATCAAGTCACCAGGTTCAGCGCAGACCTTGACCAATTTGCAGCCGTGGTCCTCATACCACTTCACATCAGAGTCTTGGAAGGGGTAGAAATCGTAATGAAGGGCTGCCAATGGGCCCTTGGTTCGGTCCGGTGGGTGCTGCTTGAAGAACTTGTCGAAGAGCCTAGCACTGCCTTCCATGACTACCAGGCCTCCATCTTTAGGTCCAGCCTCAGACACTAGGAGTTGTTATTAGTAAGCTGTGGCGTTATCTGAAAAAATGATAACTTACGATTGATGATGCCTTGCACACAGGACAAGCCCTGTCGCTCAGGCGCCTGATCGACGTGAGGCCATGGCTTGGAGCCCCCCATCTTCGAGGCGTTTGGCAGTGTAAGGTTGATGGTGTCATAAGATACAATGAGCTCGTTTGTGTTCCAGAGTTTCTCGAAAGCATCCAGAACGCCAGGTTCCCTACAGCGTACAACATCAGCAGCTATCGCTCACATGGACATTTTGAGCGAATGTGTCGGACTTACTGCCTAGCCTCCCAGACATATTTCTCATGTGCAGCACAGTAGTTGAGGTACATGCCGTTCTTGAAACTTTGGGGCAAGTTCTCCTTGGTCCATGTCTCTGGCTTGTTGATGTCGAAGTCGTTGGGGAATGTGCCGAGCCAGTCGATCATTTTGTTGCGGTACTTCAACGCTCGCTCCTTAGGAACTACACCCTTGAGCACTACGTAGCCCTTCTCGTAGAACTCATCTCTCCAGTCGCCATATGGCTGCTGGACGGTTTCTTCGTCATTCAGGTATGGAGCCATGATCTCAAATCGAAATTAAGAATGCAGTGTTTCCTGGAAGGAGTTTGATATTCAATGTGCTACTATGTACACGAAACTGCGCATACATATACTGTTCTATGGTTTCAGCAAATTGTATGTCCAGGCGTGTTCCCGCCCGTTCACGGCCGCTCCAGATGGGGCGCTTACAAGCCCCAGTGTCAAGAAAGTGGGCCGCTGGAGACATCTCGGTCGAGTACGGGCGGGTATTGTATGTGAGTGGGACCCGCACCACGGCTTCTCCAGCATCTCTCCAGCACCTCCACATACCGAGACAAGATGCATTTGCCACTCGTGCAATACATACCGAGACACGATGCATTTGCCACTTGGGCGATACATACCTCGGCCAAAGCTGTCGGTAAAATCATTGCGGCCGAGCACGGTCAGGAGAACGAAACAATAGTCCCACGAACAGATATGTGTCTTGTCAAGACTGCGTCGCTTTCCTGTTCTGGTGTGTCTACACACCAGACAGATATCAGCTCTTCACAGAACCAGTCACCCTTCTCGCTTTCCAAGCCACCCATCTCGCAATCAAGCCACCCAAAGTAGGCGAGAATGGATACCGATGCTTCAGTCCACCCAAAAGAAACCCTTCCAAAGGGTTACTAGAGTTGCGACGGCGCTCGCGCAATCTCAGAAGCAATTATTGTAGAGCATGATGTAGCTGTCAAAGTCAGAGATGGATATACACTATACTACGACAACTACTGGCCTTGCAGTAGTGACGGGCACGGTGCTACCAAGGTACCCGCGTTCGTGGCCTGGAACCCTCCGGCAAAAGGTATACCCGGATTGATATGATGTCCTAGGTTAGTCAGAAAACCAACCTGGAATTTGATTTGTGACTAACAGCTCATAGATTGCTGTATTCCCAAACGTTGTCTCGGTGGTCCTGAACGCTTGGAAGGGCCTGATCCTGCGGAATACTGTCCTCGGGGCTTCGTAGTCGTCAATATTGACACACGAGGTGCGGACGACTCGGACAGAGACATTATTATTATGGAAAAACAAGAGGATAAGGATAGCCACGATGTGATCAAAGAACTCGCAAAGATAGAATGCTAGGGTTCGCCAATTATAAGTCAAAAATAGGAGCTAACAGACCCTCAGGTGTAATGGCTCAATTGGACTTGCTGGCAACTCGCATCTCCGTACCGTACAGTAGTTCATCATTACAACTTATCCACCCTCTCTGAAAGTCATTGCGCCATGGGAAGCTTGCGGCGGTCTGTATTGAGAACAGTTTGCACGCGGTGGTGCATGGGATAACGGGCTGGGTCTCCTCAAAGCCATACTATACATATCCTGCCCCAACTTCAACGACATGATAGTCTGCATCTTAATCCACAAGCCCGATGCCCAAGGCAAACCTATGATCGCCATTAACATCCCCTGGTCCGCAGCCCTCTACTCCGAAGCCTCGGACATGCCCGAATCAGACTATAGCAACCTAATGATATATTACGGCCCGACAGGCATCCTGTGAGCTTCGCACCGCAAGATCGACGCTGCAAAATCGATACATACACATTAACCCTTTCATACGCACGACGAGGGGCAAAGTATAGCTCTGGGAGATATTGTGAAGCTGGAAATTTGGATGTGGGCATGGACCTGGAGGCGGATTAGAGTATCAGTTTTGGAAAACTTCAGTATCAAATAGCACCAAGTTGTGTCATGTATCATTTTCTGTGTTCACTATTCACTCTCACTCCCGTTAATATGTAGCAGCATCTCAAGTGAAGGCTCTATGAAGTGAAGCTGCTATTTTGAGACTTGTCACTTACCTGCAGCATGGTCATCGTGCTTACCCGTACCTTCCACGGATTAGTCTTGGGGGTAAACAAACACTCCTCCTACCGTGTGAAACCTGCATCTTGTCTCCCATCAACTATACCCCTTTTTCCATTCGCATATACACAAATAACACAACAGACAAAATGCCGCGCAGCGTCTCTGAGAGTGCAACCCATCTAGGCGACGTGAAGCTAATCAAGCGTGAAGACAGTGAGTTGAAAGAAGGCGAGATTGGTCACTCCTCGCCTTCAGTACTCGTGAATGATTTTGACCGCATAAGTGTCGCCCCAGGCGGTAGTGCGCTGCATAGTAAGTACCTCCTTCTTGTCAACAGAAACACCACTAACGGCTACCAGCTCAACTTCAACTTGCTTCTTACGAGTACGAAACGCTTAAGCAGCGCTATCGAAAGCTTTCAACAAGGCATGAGGAGCTGAGTAAGCTTTGTTCGGCATACAGAGATGTCATCTGCGGCTTCTCGACTGGCGAAGAGCAAGCAGCTAGCATTAAGCAACTACGTGCTGAGGCTGGCCGCAGGGGCATGCGCGCCAAAGCCCTCGAAGCTGATGTGCTTAAGCCAATCATCCGAGAAGCAGGAGGACTGCAAGCGCTCGTGTCGCAAATGCAGTCTATTCGGTCACTGATCGAGAGGGTCGGTGGCCTTCCGGAGCTTGAAGAGCTGGTCTCGGATGTGAACTTATTCCGCATTGGCTTAGATGAGGTCGGGAGCCTCCAAGGTCTATACAGCCTCATCGCCGAAGTTAAGAATTTACGAGAGCAGCAGCTCGCGTTTCGAGAGACGAAAGCCAGGATCGATGGTCCCGATGGACTCGCTGTAAAGGCGGCAAAGTATGACAGGCTTGTGCAGGCTTTCAGTGCTGTCCAAGCTACAGAGGAACACACCGCTCCAGCTAGGACCGCAACGATTAACCCTGCACGAGCGACTCTCATTGCTTCTGTACCACTCGATATGGACCCATATCGTGATCTGTATGAAGCTCCTCGGGTCGGGAAGCCACGTAACAAAACCGGTTCAAACAATATCCCTTTGGGACCTGCACGCGTACACGGACGAACAGCCAGTCAGATTGATGAACAACCATCGTTAAAGCGAGAACCGCTAGAAAATATGGAGGAAATCATCAGCAAGCGCCCTCGAGTCGACCTTGAACGTTTCTCCACTCAGATAAAAAGGTCCATGCCATCGTTTCATATACAAAAGCCATCATATGATCGTCACAAGCAGCCACCTGAACATGAAGTACCACGTTCTCAATCAAAACCGACAGTCAAACTAAATGACCTCTGCAGTACGGAGGTACAAAGTCCTTGTGCAAAAAATCAACAGTCTGGTGTTTCGCCCCTCTTAGCTGTCGCTGCTGAGAGCATTAATCTACCCAAATCTATGATAGTCGACCGTTACCCGATTGCCCTTTGGACAGGTGACGCTGACCCTCATGCTCCGGAACGGCCTGGACAGATGAAAAAGAGCGGTGATATTCCTGGGAAGCTAGGCAAGTTTCTGGCCAGTGAGCTTTCCAAATACATCACCGGTGCGGTCGGTCAGCTCTTCGACACGATGCCGCCGAACCGGGACACATGCATACTCCGATACATTCTGGATAGTCATAGATCTTCAGGGCAACCGCAGGCGCGCAAGGCTTGCCCTTTGTGCTCATCAACATGGGTTAGGCATCACCGTCCATGCGCTTTGCTCCTCGAGGTCGATGGTATTCGCACCGTGGTATTCATGCCACTTCCTGGTAGGCCTGGTGAGCATACACACTGGACCGAGAAGAACCACTGGGTAAAGGGTACTGAATAGGCAATGGATTTGGTTCAGGATGATCGGTATGGCATGGCATGAGATATATGGTACAGCCTACTAGCAAGTCAGAGACTATGGGCACATCGTTGCGAAGGCTGTTACCCACTTGATAAGCAATTGAGGTTATGAGTATAACTCGGCATCATCCGGTCTTCTCATTCCATGCGTCTCACCGTGCTCGGGGAATTGTGGTCTTTTCAAGGCTGTGCCTTCCTTCAAGTAGAGGATTAATCTAAATGCTGCGTTGCCATTCAGATAGTACCTGTGTAGCCGTTTGCTTCTTATAAAGCCTAGTCTTTCATACAACTTCAGACTTGCGGTGTTTGACACCTCTGTCTCCAAGACTATCTCATCGGCGTCGCGTGCAGTCATGGCATCGACGGCCAACCGGACAAGCTTGGTAGCTATACCGCGGCCTCGGTATTCCTCCTTCGTTGCGAGCATTGCGATATAACCCCGGTAGGTCCCTGAGCGGTGCGGTTCGAGCTTGCATGTGATTACGCCAATTAGGGTGTTGGTGGGGGAGAGTGCCTATCAAGGAAGTTGTTAGCCAAAGTTATGAAAGCAACAAACCAAAAGGTTTAAATTTAGAAGAGTGCGCATACCATGTAGCAAAGATCACCCCATTGGTACAGAAAGTAGCGGTATACATAGATACTGTACGGCTCAGAAAGGTCCTTTGAGATTAGTTGGCGGATGGCGGGGAGATATTGCTCTTCCTTGGAAGGCTCGTATTGTATATACTGGAGACCCGAATCGTTTAGGTCCTTTGGGTCGCCAGTCTTTGGCGCATCAGCCGCAGACAGGCTGTCGTCATTTTCGGCCATTTCGCGCGTCGAAGTCAATGTTGAAGCCGGCGGCAAGTGGAGGTAGTTGGACAAGGTTGCGGAGAGACCCCCGGCTTGGCAAAACGGGCGCAACGTGCTTTTCGAAGACCCTTGTGTCGATCGTTCCGTCACATGCCGGAGTTTTCGGACATTTGCGAACGGAGCAAAATAGACCCTCGTGCAGGGAGAAACTCTGCTGGTTTCTTCTCACCACCCTTTCACCTTGGATACTCCTTTACTGGTATCTGCAGATGTCTTTTCTGAGACGTCGCTTTGGCGGCGGCGGTGGCAACGGCGGCGAAGGAGAGGACTCGACGCCTGAGTTCTCTCGCGAACCCTCACTAGGAACGGATGGTAAACGGCCAGCGAATCTGCGGGTGATCACCGCGGAGCAACTGGCGACGTTGAAACAGAAGGGAAAACACAAAAAGAGGAATAACCTCTGGGTTTTTGTTCTTGGTGGCCTATTCGGACTGCTGGCCGCGGGGTTTTTTGCGAGCAATAATGACATGATTGATCTGACCAGTCTGGGGGAAGTGAACCTGGAGAGCATCCTAGAGGCACTACCAGAGAACTTTGTGAAGAGTGCGCAACAGTTTCAGGTATGCGCACTCTTTCTGTACATACAGGAGATCTCGAGGATAGTAAAGAGGGATGGAGACTGACTTTCACCCCTCCACTAGAAAACCGAACGAGACGCCGTAAACTACGATTCCTTTGCCGTCGGGCTACACGCGAAGAGGCAGGGCATAAAGGCTAAGCACCCGGTTATCATGATTCCCGGCGTCATCTCCACAGGGCTGGAATCCTGGGGGACAGAGGAAAGCTCAAGACAGTACTTTCGCAAGAGACTGTGGGGTTCGTGGACAATGATGCGCGCATTGGTTATGGACAAGGCTCAATGGAAGCGCCATATCATGCTTGATAAAGAGACTGGGCTCGATCCACCAGGTGTTAAACTACGAGCGGCACAAGGATTCGACGCAGCAGACTTCTTCATAACGGGATACTGGATATGGAACAAGATTCTCGAGAACCTCGCTACGGTCGGATACGATCCTGGAAACGCCTTTACAGCAGCCTACGACTGGCGCATGTCATACATGAACTACGAAATCCGCGACCAATACTTTACCCGTCTCAAGTCGCATATCGAAGTCGGCGTCCGCGTCTCGAACCAAAAAGTCGTTCTCCTCTCGCACTCCATGGGCTCACAGGTTCTCTACTACTTCCTCCACTGGGTCGAAGCAGAAGGCTACGGCAATGGCGGCCCAGACTGGGTAGAAAAGCACATCGACTCATGGATCAACATCTCAGGTTGCATGCTCGGCGCCGTCAAAGACGTCCCCGCCGTGCTCTCAGGCGAGATGAAAGACACAGCCCAACTCAACGCCTTCGCCGTCTACGGCCTCGACCGCTTCCTCTCGCGCTACGAGCGCGCCGAGCTCTTCCGCGCCATGCCCGGCCTCTCCGCCATGCTGCCCCTTGGCGGCAACGCCGTCTGGGGCGACGAGACCGGCGCGCCCGACGACTTACCCGGCCAAGACGAAACCCACGGCCGCTTCCTGCGCTTCCGCAACTCGAATTCCACGCTCACAAAGAAAAATATCACTGTGGATGAAACACTGCCATTCCTCTTCCGCAACACAGAACCCTGGTTCAAGAAAATGATCCTATCCTCGTACTCCCACGGCGTAGCTCACACGACCAAGCAAGTAGAAGATAACCAGCTCCTCCCCGCAAAATGGATCAATCCCCTTGAAACTCGGCTCCCGCTCGCCCCGAACCTCAAGATCTACTGCTTCTACGGTGTAGGCAAGGAGACGGAGCGTGCGTATTACTACCGCAGCGATGATGATCCTGTGAGCGAGTTGAACGTTACCCTGGATACCATGTATACCCAAGGCAATGTGGATCACGGGGTCGTCATGGGCGAAGGGGATGGCACGGTGAATCTACTCAGTAGCGGGTATATGTGCACTAAGGGGTGGAAGATCAAGAGGTATAACCCCGCCGGGGTCAAGGTTACGACGTTTGAGATGAAGCATGAGCCTGATCGGTTTAGTCCGAGGGGTGGACCGAATACTGGTATGTTTCTTTCTCTCTTTTTTTGTTCTTTTGATTGATGTTTTTTTTTGCTGACGAGAGGTAACTAGCGGATCATGTGGATATCCTGGGTCGTATGTCGTTGAACGATCTGATTCTGCAGGTTGCGGGTGGACGCGGTGAGTTGATTGAGGAGACGATTCATTCTAATATCCGCGAGTATGCGGAAAAAGTCAAGATATACGAGGAGGAAGAGTGAGCGTTCGTTTTCGGTGCGTGAAGCTGGGTTTTTGCGTAGCAGTGGAAAGGATGGAAGCGTCTGTACGTTTGTGGCGTATCTGGAAATAGGGGATAGAGCTGGATGGCTGGCTGAGTTAAGTGAATTGAGAGCATGATACCATAGACCAATAAAGTGCGTTTTTTTCCTTTGCATTATTATGCTTTATATATGTCTCCACATCATTATGGGTCTATCGTCTTACTTCTTCTCCTCTAGACTCAGACCCTCGATGGCCTTCTCACCACCCTCGGTTCCCACATCTACAGTCGCCTTGTCTTCACCCTCAACATGGCCGTCTGGCTTGGCCTCGACATTTCTCTTTGGGTGGAAGGTACCCTTGTTCTTGACCTTCTTCTCCTTCTTGACCACGGGTGGTGGGGGGTAAGCCTTTTGCTCAATCTCCTTCCACTCAGGGTTGGCCTGGAATTCCTTTTGTACAGGCTCAAGCAGGGTGATGAGAGCTTCTGTGACGGCAGGCTTGAGGTCCTGGGGAGTAAGGATGTCGTTTCGGTAGTCCTCCTGCATCTTCGTAATGTCAGTGTAGACGAGGGGCTCGCCCTCGCGACGCTTGACGACAAACTTGGGTTCACCGTGGATGAGATGGCCGGCGGGGAGGAGGACGTATTCGACGAAGCTGAGGACACCGTTTTCTTCGACCACCTTTGGCGCCGCATGCGCTTTCTTGAGCTTGCGCTTGACTACATCCGCATCGTCGAGAACATCAATCTTAGAATCTGGGTCGGAGGCGCTCATCTTTCCACCTTGCAGACCGGGAACCATGGGGTTCATCAAGTGCGCGCGCTCCTTGTAGCCAATCTTGGGCAGCACGTCCTTTGCGAGTGCAAAGATCTTACGCTGGTCTACACCGCCAAACTGAACGTCTACATCGAGGTACTCCTCGTCGAGGGCTTGCATGAGAGGGTAGAGAAGTCCACTGAGTGGCGCGTTCTCTGTCTGTTTGACGACCTCGGCACCAGCCTTTTTTGCAGTGGCTTCGCTCGTTATACTCGCCAGTCTTAGAAGGTCCATTGTGTAGTCCGCATTCAATTCGTAGCTTGAACCCAGCACAAACTCTAGTTTCTCGATTGGTACTTTGACCGCCTTCAGAAGCGCGGTAATGGTGAAGCGGTAGTATTGGGCGCGGAACTTGACGAGCTCAATAGGTGCTTTCAGGTTGTCGAGGAAACCGTGGATATCGGCAAGGAGAATCTTAACATGGCAACCTGCCGCGAGGAATTGGGCAAGCTTGAGGATAGGCACGAACTACATGGAGCTTATCAGTATCGCGCGGGACTCAATTTAAATCACACAAGACACACGTATCCGCAATGAGGTCGTCCTGTTGTCGCAGTACCCCAGTAGACCTTCAGATGGCCCTGCTTCTTCAACGCCTCATCCATAATCTCCGGGTTCAGCACTTCAGCCAAGTTGACCTTGATGAGCGACATCTTTTCTTCAGCCGACAAGTTTGCGCCGGGGCCATCGTACGCGGCATCTTTGGCCTTTCGTAACCTTTCCTTTGCATCTTTGAGTTGTGATTGCGCCTCTTCAATTCGCTTTTCGATTGCGGTAATCTCGTCTTGGATGGCGGCGGGGTCGGCCATTGTGTCGGCTATGGCGGGGTATAAAGAAGGGCTATTGGTGTGTTTTATGAAATTGAATGAAAGGAAAATATGAAAGAATTCAGATACAAGAAATTCAAGATAGCCAGAACACCAATTTATGGTCGTTCGAGCTCAGCTGGGGCGGATGTGGTGACTGCAAGCTTGAAGCGCGAGCTGAATGAGTCGTGGTGGGGCTGAAGGCCAGTCACCAAAATAACATTTACAGGGTCCAGTGCTGGCTGTGCCACACTCAATGTGGCTGGCTATGTCCACGATTCGGTAAGGCTAGCTTCTCTGCCGCGATCTTAGGCGTACCATAAACCCATACACAAGAATATGAAAAAAAAAGTTATCCAGAGAGACGGCTAAGAACGTAGGCCTTAGGCTTGGCTCTTCCGACATCACTACTACTGCACTCGTGGTGCCGCAGGGATGTCAAAATAATTTAGTCAATGAGTCATCTTCCACCAAAAGTTCGCAGATAAATGTGCTTTTCATCGATAAACAATGGAATATTTAGATGTATCCAGCGAGAAGTATGTCTCTTGAAAGAGTTGGTTCACAAGTCCATCAAGTACTGTTCAAACGGGCAAGGATCGAGATAGCAAGGTAACAAGCCTGCTAAACAAGTGTTTCCTGATAGATATCTAAGGAGTGTATAAACAAGAAGTCAAACAGTCTAACGCAAAAGCTCAAATAAAAAAGAATCAGTAACCAAAAAGCCCAAAATCGCCCATCATTATCGTAAAAACGCCATCGCTATGAATACTCAAATCGTGAATGCCATGTCCTCATACTGCCAAACCATCTCCACCCCACTTGCTTGTCTGGGTGCGCTAGATTTACTGACGCTTGCACTTGGCAAGGCAGGTATCCATATCCTGAGCTAGGTTAGGAGGAATCTGCTTGCGGAACTCCTCAATGTTGGACGCATCAATGGAGCTGGGGAATCCCAGTGTAGCCTTGAGCACACCCGAGTTGAGAGCAAAGAAGTTCTGCGCAACCTGGCTGGTACCAGGGTCTTCGGAGTTGAGGGTAGCGACGAAAGTGGCATTTTCGCAGTTGTTGTTGAACTGGAAGTGGATGGAGCCTTGGGGGAAAACGGTGCCTTCGAACTTGTTGAGGTAGCTGGCGACTTCGGGGTTCTCGCCGGCCTTGACGAGGCCGTTTTCGAGGACGTAGCCGAACTCAAGGTTTTTGCCTTCAACGAGGGTGAGGAATTCGGTGGCGCGGGGGTGAACGTGAGGAGTGTTGATTCCACAGGGGGCGAGGAAGCCGACAGTGGTGCTGATGCCGAGGCCGGTGAGGATGGGAAAGCTCTCGATGTTCTAGTTGGGGTGTTAGTACGAAGCTCTTACTGCTAACATGTCACTGGACTTACTGCTGCAACAGCGACACCACCGTTGGCGCCTGCTGGAGGAGGCGTGTTCCTGTCGAAGGTAAAGACGACCAACTTCCTCAACGCATCTCCAGTGAAGAGAGTTTGCCCTTGAGTGAGGAGCCTCTGGAAACGCTTGATAGCCGTGGGGGCAGTGAAGAGGTCATCAAAAAGAGCGTCCTGGTTGGCAGTAGGAGCCGGAGGTGCGACCGTAGTAGTAGTAGCGGTAGCGTTGACGGTAGGGAAGCCCTGAGCTTGAGGAAGGGCTTGGACAGCTCCAAGAGTGAGCGCAGCGACGATGACTTTTGTGAAGGTAGACATGATTACTGATTAAGAAGCGAAGGCTTGGACAGTAAAGGAAGATGAGATGAGGAAAATAGGAAAGAAAAGGAGATTGTAGTATGAGTTATTGATTGTGAGTAAGGAGATGATTCTCCAAACTGCGTTCTATGGCAATATACTTATACCTGGATGCTCAAGTTCATCTCTCCAGCTTGATGGCCATGTCTCAGACGGCAACTGGTGATTCCGACGATAGCGTGATGGCTGTACAGTGCTTGTAGACCGCCAACTCACGGTGTGGTTTATTCGGGAACACATGTGTTCTGCTTATAGATTTTACAAACCAGAAATATCTATTGGCCAGAATTGCAGGAAACATCAGCCTTTGCTCTAGGTCGTCAGCCTCGCAGCGGGGGCGCTTGGCGAAGTACGCCTTGTTCGGGCGGTGCCACTTGTACGCAAACGGAACAAAAGATCATGAGAAACAACAATTATTACGCCATGCCTGTGTATATAGATGACGCTGAAACAACTAAAAGATGACGTGGGAATAGTGCGTCCAGGGTGTTCGGATGATGCCTGCTCTACCGACTAGATGGAGATGTTGTTCTATTCAGAAAGAATGGGGCTCAAAGGCGATGGAGGCTCCTGATGTGGCGCAGAGAAACGGAACTTTGACGAGCCGTACTATTTGAGATGCCTTGTCGGTGGAGGATCATGTTGGTTTGTTTTGTGGGGTTGGAGTGAGTGGTGGTAAGCCTCTCCAGCTGGGCGTTGTTGCTGTCTAGCCCGCCCGCTTAGCGACGTGAGTTCCAAAAATAGCTCTAGAGATAGCAGGCGCCAGCAAATCTTACAAATATACAACGGTGATGATTGCCGCGCAAGACGACAGCCATGCTAGTCACAAGAAGTAACACAACGCATCTTGCATGGTAGCCAACGCTGAGCAATGCAAAGGCAAAAACAGATTCATTTGGAGACCCGGTAGTAACGCTACACAAAAGACAACGCCGCACAAACTCCTCGCTGATGAACGCCATGGCTGGAGAGCAAAGACAGACTAATGTGACAAGACCCCGGCCTGATTTCATTTCGCGTAAGTGAACCCATGGTTCTTTTACTCAAAGATACTATACTCGATATCGATGTTGTCGTGAGCTGTCCAGAAGGGAAGCTCGTCCAGGGTGAAGCCATCGTCGCTAGGGATGGACGGCGGGCCTTTTGAGTGCAGCACTATTCCTTCTTCGGGTTCCTCGACTTCGAGAATGTTGTTGGTGTTTGAGACACCCCGATCTACAAAGATCAGCGACTCTCTTCTTGGCCCGCGTACACGTCGACGAAGCCGGCGTGCGCTTGGGTCCATGTCGTCCAGAGGGTCGTTGTCGGAGTAGTCGCTATCGCCTTCAACGCTCTGGCTGTAGCTGCGTTTTTTGAAGATGCCGGCGCTCCACCGCTTTTTCTTCTGTCGGTATTTGAGCACCCGCTTCTCGTCGTCTGACGAGTCTTCCTCGAGCTGCAATTCGTTCATTCTAGCGAAGATCTCGGCTTTCACTCCGTTCCTTTCGCTCTTTGCGTCTTCGCAATGGTCCGGTTGGAGTACCTCTACATCACAGTCGTAGCCAGGGTCGTCATCCAGCTCTTCGAGGATGAATTGGGCCTTTTCCACGCGGCGCAGGGGTGGCTGCTCTTCCGGTTCGCTTTCCTGATCAGAATCATTCTCATCGTCGGAGTCACACTCAAATTCGGAATCTTCGCAGGTGGTGGCAGCGAAGGCTTGGTCAGAGTCTGAGGAGGGGCGTGAGCATGGCTCGCATGGCTGGGGGCGGGTGAAGCTGAATTGGTGGTTGAAGCCGGTGGGCTCGATGTACTCGAGCGGCGGTGTCTGGACGCAGCTGGCCATGCGCTTGTACTGTGGAGAGGACTGGCGTGGTGGGGGTGGGAAGCGACTGTGGGCTTCGGGGCTGGGCGTCATGGGCGGCGACTGGAGGTGCCCGTTGAGAGTGGTGACTGGCGGCTGGTGGTGTTGGGCCATGGTGTGGAGAGATATGGGGGAGGGTGTGGATGGGAAAGATTGCGTCAGGCTGCTTGCAGCCAATTGCGAGGGCGTACGTATCAGTGGCACTGTAGACGAATTGATGCGAATTGCTCAGGGGATCAGAGTCCGACGGGCGTGTCTAATCTTTGAAATACGGAAAAGAAGTTGCGCCGACTGTAGCATTCTGGAGGTGGCCCGAGAGTGTTTTACTGGGATATCTGAGCGGCGAGCTCGAGCGCAGAGGTGGAGAGGTTTTGGCAAGTCGAACCCTGCAACGCCTTGGCTTATCGTGCAGGAAGTCGAATGGGAGGTGCTACTAGAGGCAGCAATGCAGCAGACGTCGCTCGCAGAGAACCGGTCGGTTGTGGCGCGCAATGCGGACAGTGTGATGGACGGGACGGTGGATGTGCACGACGAAGAAGAAGGAGGAGAGGAAGAGGACGAAGACAGGGCAAAGTCGTGGAGGTTGGAATTCCCAGCAGCGCTTGAGTGAAAGTGCGTGGTCGGGTCGCCAATTATCAGCAGCGTTTCAGCAGTGAGCTGGCCGGCCACGGAGCGGGTCTGCATTGCTGCCCTTCCCATGTGCAGCGTCGCCTTGGTTGGATGACTCGGGCGCTGGCACGCAATGTGGTCGCGAACGATTAGTCGCAGCAGCAACTCGGGCACTCTACCTTGCGTCAGGCAGGATGGATGCCCAATGAGGTCAGCGAGCAAGATTATTCTGCACTGGGCGGCTAGGTGCTGGCACTGGCTGGCATTGGCACTACCACTACCACTCCACTACCACGGCCAGCTGGCACAATCGTCGCATTGCTGACTTTGGCGGGGCCTCGCTGCGCTACTCCAACCGCCCGCCCGGCCCAGGGCTGCCGGCGAAGGGAGATTTGCAACGACGCGGCCCGTCAAAGTGAGGCTCTGCTCACGGACGCTCATGTGCAACGTGTGCTGTACTGCGCTGTACATATGGGTAGGCATTGTATTGTCGTTGAGGTTCCAGAAATTGAAACACGCTTCTCGACCGGTGGCCGATGCACACAGCATACTAGTCGCACGTACTACCATAGCATACCGTGCCATGCCATACCGCGCCCAGGGGGAGACGTCTTGAGGCCGCTCACGTGACCTTTGGTGGGGAATGTACGCTAGTACCGCATCCGGCTAAGCGCACCTTTGAGGACAATCCGAATGTTGCGTGGCATATCGAACATTGGCCTGAGCAGCTCAGGCGGAGGCAGCCACAACCACTGATAATAGCAAACACCGTGTTTCTTTCTCTTGTCCATATACCCCGGCTCCCGTGCGCCCGCCCTCTCTTGCATTGACTCCTACGTGGCCCACAGTGAAGCGGCGGCTTCGTTCTCAATTCCGCCATGTCGTCGTCTCCTTCCATGTTGACCAAGGTAGACAGCTCTGCGCTTTTTATATGCCTACACGCCAGCTGACCCGCATCAGTTCGAGTCAAAGTCCTCGCGTGCAAAGGGCATCGCTTTCCACCCAAAAAGGTACCTGCGCCCGCGACTATCTGGGCCACTTGTTCTCTGCTGACCGCCCCAAAAGGCCATGGATCCTCGTATCACTGCACTCGTCGACTATCCAGCTATGGGACTACCGCATGGGAACACTCATTGACCGCTTCGAAGAACACGACGGGCCGGTCCGCGGCGTTGACTTCCACAAGACGCAGCCATTGTGAGCATTTTGCACCACCTGGCCATTTTCATAGCCACATACTGAGACGCGCAGGTTTGTCTCGGGCGGTGATGATTACAAGATCAAGGTCTGGTCATATCAGACGCGGCGTTGTCTCTTCACATTGAACGGCCACTTGGACTATGTCCGAACCGTCTTCTTCCACCACGAGCTGCCATGGATATTGAGTAGCTCCGACGACCGTAAGCGCATGTCACCAGCAGCCGACATGCTCGCTAACATATAGCAGAGACCATCCGTATATGGAATTGGCAAAATCGTAAGTATCTCTAGTCTTTTCTACAATGCATTGCTAACATACCCAGGTTCACTGAGTAAGTTCATCATCTCGAGTCCTCACAACCGTCCAATCTAACCCTGCCCAAGTCTGCACCATGACCGGCCACAACCACTACACCATGTGTGCGCAGTTCCATCCCAAGGAAGATTTGATTGTTTCCGCCTCGCTCGATCAGTCCGTTCGTGTCTGGGACATCTCAGGGTTGAGAAAGAAGCATTCGGCACCACAGGCCATGTCCTTTGAGGACCAGATGGCACGCACCAACCAGAACCAAGCAGACATGTTCGGAAACACAGATGCCGTTGTCAAATTCGTCCTTGAAGGCCACGACCGAGGTGTGAACTGGGTCGCATTCCACCCCACATTGCCATTGATTGTTTCCGCGGGTGACGATCGTCTAGTCAAGTTGTGGAGGATGTCAGAAACAAAGGCGTGGGAGGTGGACACTTGTCGGGGACATTTCCAGAACGCATCTGCGTGTTTGTTCCACCCCCACCAGGACTTGATACTCTCGGTTGGCGAGGACAAGACGATCCGTGTATGGGATCTCAACAGGCGAACATCGGTCCAGTCTTTCAAGAGGGAGAATGACCGCTTCTGGGTCATCGCAGCACATCCTGAGATCAACCTGTTCGCCGCTGGTCACGATAATGGAGTAATGGTATTCAAGCTGGAGCGCGAGCGACCCGCATCCGCTGTGCACCAGAACAACCTCTTCTACATTACCAAGGAGAAGCATGTGCGCTCGTATGATTTCCAAAAGAACCTCGAATCACCGTCAATGCTGTCTCTCAAGAAGCTGGGAAGCGCCTGGGTACCTCCACGGACACTCTCCTACAACCCTGCTGAACGTTCAATCCTGGTCACATCTCCAGCGGATAGTGGAACATACGAGCTCATCAGCCTTCCACGCGACGCTTCAGGGGCAGTAGAACCTACGGACACCAAGCGCGGCTCTGGAAACTCTGCTGTATTTGTGGCTAGGAACCGATTTGCAGTCTTCAACCAGTCCAACCAGCAGATTGACATCAAGGACCTCAACAACAACTCCACCAAGACCATCAAGCCTCCTAATGGAACAACCGACATCTACTTTGGTGGAACCGGCAACCTGCTCTTGATTACACCTACCTCTGTTGTTCTTTATGACATCCAGGCCAAGAAGAACCTTGCTGAGCTGTCTGTGAATGGCGTAAAGTATGTTGTCTTGTCATCGGATGGACTGCATGTGGCTCTCTTGAGTAAGCACAATGTCACAATTGCGACAAAGAACTTGGAGCAGGTTAGCACTCTGCATGAGACGATTCGTATCAAGAGTGCAGTCTTTGACGATACTGGAGTCTTGCTTTACTCTACCCTGAACCACATCAAGTACAGTTTGATGAATGGCGACAACGGAATTGTCCGCACTCTCGAACAAACCGTATATCTCGTCAGGGTTAAGGGCCGCAACATATACTGCCTGGACCGAGCCGCGAAACCCAAGATCCTCCAGATTGACCCTACCGAGTATCGATTCAAGCTTGCCCTTGTAAAGCGAAACTACGACGAGATGCTCAACATTATCAAGACTTCAAGCTTGGTTGGACAGAGTATCATCTCCTACCTCCAAAAGAAGGGATATCCTGAGATTGCTCTTCAGTTCGTTCAGGATCCCCAGACACGATTCGAGCTTGCCATTGAATGCGGCAACCTTGAGGTTGCGGTAGAAATGGCAAAGCAACTTGATCGCCCCAAGCTCTGGCAGCGATTGAGCAACGAAGCATTGGCACACGGCAACCATCAAACCGTAGAAATGACATATCAGAGTAAGTACTTCGAGCATTTGATACGAACCTCGCTAAACAGTGGACAACAGAGCTACGGAACTTTGATAAGCTGTCATTCCTCTACCTTACAACAGGTGATCAGGACAAGCTGAAGCGCATGGCCAAGATTGCAGAGCATCGCGGGGACATGACCGCCCGATTCCAGAACGCACTCTACTTGGGTGACGTGCAGAATCGGATAGAAATGTTCCAGGAGCTTGACCTGTACCCACTCGCATATGCTACCGCCAAAGCCCAAGGCCTCGAGGAACAAGCACAGTCAATCTTGGAAGCTGCAGGTGTCTCGGAAGACCAGATCAAGCTGCCTTCGATAGGCAGCCCTCTCGCACCTGTAAAGCCCATCGTCCCGACTTACCAGGCAAACTGGCCGACGCGCGCGGCTTCTTCAACTGTCTTCGAGAAGGCTCTTCAAGGCGAGGTTGAAGGCATTGGATCCGAGGAGCCTGCAGCCAACGGCTATGGTGATGAGGATCTGCTCGGCGAAACAGAACCCACCGGTGCTGCAGCCGACCTTGGAGGTGACGAAGAAGATGACATCGGCGGATGGGACATGGGCGATGATGCCGAGGTTGAAGCAGAGGACGATTTCGTCGAGGTTGAGGGTGCTGAAGTTGGTGCTGGAAGCAGCGAAGCCGACCTCTGGGCACGGAACTCACCTTTGGCAGCGGACCACGTCGCGGCAGGCTCCTTTGACACCGCCATGCAGCTACTCAACCGCCAAGTCGGTGCAGTCAACTTTGCCCCTCTCGAGGAGCGCTTCCAAGAGATCTACCAAGCGACACGGACATTTTTGCCCGCTACGCCCAACATGCCATCATTGGTCAACTATGTGCGAAGGACAGTGGACGAGACCGACTCGCGGAAAATCTTGCCGATTATTCCACGGGATTTGGAATCTATACTATCTAATGACTTGACTGCCGGCAAGCAAGCTCTGGTCAAGAACAAGCTGGAAGATGGTATTGCGACATTCAGGAAGCTACTGCAGCTCATCATGGTCAACGTTGTCTCGTCTCAAGCCGAGCTCTCTGACGTAAGTCTCTTCAAGTATCCTACACTAAACCTGCAACTAACAGACTACTCTAGGCAAGGAAGGCGATCAACACTGCTACCCAATACATTCTCGCTATGACCATTGAGCTGGAGCGCCGCAAACTGCTCAATGGCGCTACGGACATTTCCGCTCTCTCCGACGCGGACAAGAAGCGTGTCCTAGAGCTATCAGCCTACTTTACCATCCCCGAGGTCGAAGGCCCACACAAGTCGATCCCGCTTTCCGCGGCCATGAACTTTGCACACAAAAACAAGCAGCTGAACACTGCGCTCAACTTTGCGAATGCCCTGCTTGACCGCACCGGCAACGCCAAGATGAAGGAGTCAGCCAAGCGGGTCAAGACGATTTCCGAGAGGAATCCCAGCGACGCGATTGAGATTGACTTTGACCAGTTTGCCGACTTTGACATTTGCGCTGCTAGTCTGACGCCCATCTACGCTGGACAGCCATCGGTCACGAGTCCATACAGCGGAGCCAAGTACCACGCTAAGTACAAGGGTACCGTGTGCAAGATTGATGGCATCAGCCAGATTGGAGCACCGGCCAGTGGACTACGACTTGTTGGATGAATGGGAATGGTTGGGGTTTTGTAGTAGTGCTTGATGGGTTGACAGACTTGTATGCTTAGCGTTCTTCCGTGACACTTTGTCGGCAAAGGGGGATAAAATGGGAAGGGAAAAAAGGTCATGTAGGCTGGCGAAGATTGGAGGGAAGAAAGCAACAAAGTTTCAATAACTTTTTGGTCTTTGTCCTTTTGTCTTTTGCTGAGCTTTTGTACTAGAGGGTATTCCCAAACATGGGGGAAGGGGGCTACGCAGGTGATGGAATTGGGGACTGAGAAAATGCGATATGAAGTATAATGTTGAATTGATTTTGATGATTCATCATGGTTTGACTGGTTTGGTCTTGTTGATGCTGTTGAGAAGGCGCTTGGTTTTTGTTGGTATGAACTGACGTACATGTACATGTCGCATGTTGTACGAGGAAGCAGGTTTCTCTGCTGGGAGCATGTGAAGGTTCAAAGTTAATGTGACACGACAAAATGTTTCTGATAATGTATCAATATCTCTTTTTGGGTTGGGGGGTAATAGATCAATAAGTCACTTCGTAGTGATTGAAAGTAAAAGAGATAATCACATATGATTGCCTAAGGGTAAAAATGTAGAGTTGATTACGACATGCATACTTGTATTACTTTCTTAAAGGGCGTGAGAAGGAAAAGAAAAAGAAACGTTGACATTTAAGCACAAATAAGGAAAAGAGGTATCAAGCGTGATTACACAAAAAGAAAGTTAGAGAAGCTCCTATACTCCACCCTTTTACCCAACCAAATTTGCCACATTTTCGTCGTTGTTCACATCATCCAAGTCTTCAATAGCATCCTAACAAAGATTCTTTTTCCTTGTTGTGAAAGCTTCGTTTGTGTCGACGTGGTTTTGATTGTAGGGTGCTTAGGCCTTGGCTGGTGGAGGGCCTGGTGGTGGTGCATAGCCGCCTCCGCCGTAGCTAGGCTGGGGCTGTTGAAGCTCGACACCATTCTGCTGACCGTAGTAATTTTGGTTTGCACCGCCGCTGTAGTAACCGTTGTTGTTGTTTGTGGCGGCGTCATAGGGCGGGGCCGGTTGGTTTGCGTAGTATGGCTGGGCGTTATACTGGTTGTTGTTCTGGCCAGGACGAGCGGCCCAGCCTGTTCCGTAGAAAGGCTTACGGCCGGCCTTGCGGCGACGACGCGCTGTTAAGCAGCTGTGAGTGCACGTTAGTTTCTGCTTTCTGAGAATGTATGTGATGATAGACAATGGACTTACGAGCAGAATACAAAGAGTAGGAGGAAGCCGACAACGACAACGACGAGGACTACCCATCGGACCCAATTGTTCCAGGCTGAGCTTCTGCAGCGCCTGTAGCCATATCTGTCGATATAACACCTAGCCATGGTGTGTTAGAGTGATGTTTGTCGGTGTAGAAGTTGTCGCAATGCAAAAGAGTAGTAGTAGTAGTGGAAGATGCGTAGAACTGGGGCTGAAAGCTTGGAGGAAACCAGGGTACAAAAACAAAAAAGCTGGCTTGATATTGGCAGACGTAGAGTATGAGAAGATGCCGATGGAAGCGGATTCAGATGACGTTGTGACGTCGTATGTTGCAAACGACCCAAGGCGAGTTCTCATACCCTAGCCACTAATGCCGATAGCCGGGCAAGCTCGCGCAGTAGCAAAGCACCGCCACGCTTGGAAACATGAAAATCAGTGGCGCACAAACTTACCTGTCATCATCCCAGTAGATCTGTCTAGCCTGCAGATGCATCGTTGTAATAGGGCAAATTATCGATCTGGAGGTACTATGGAGTAGGTGAGGGAAGAGAGAGGCACAAAGTAGAAGGGTGAGTGAGAGGACAGAGCAGATGAATGACGAAGTGCATGACCATATAAGCGGGAGCAGGCAAGGATCCGGGGGGCGCTCAGCCACACACCAAGAGAGCAACCCCACTTGGCACGACGTGGAAAGAGTTTGGCCGCGCAGACGATTAACGGCGCCTGCACCAGCATGGGTGACGACCACGACCACGACTACGAGCGCATTCGTGCCCGGACGGTGCTAGCGCCAACGAGAACCCTCTATATGGGCGTTGAGGGGAGATGTTGGTGGAAACGTCGCTGCGGCCTTTTCGTGTGGTACGTACTCAGCCCTGCAGGAAATGGTCCAGGCCGTCCGTTTCTACTACAGTACATACGTCATCTGACCAAACACACCACCGCCCGGTCCGGCGCCGTATGTACGGCGGTGGCTATTGCCGTATTGCAGCTTACGAAGCAGCATGAATCAACGAAACACATACGTGGACAACAGAGTAAGAGAGCTCGTTTGGTCATGTTTCCTCCATTGCATGCACTTGTTTGAGGTTGAGATGTATGTACGTTGTAGAGTAGTCGCATGGATCCTGCTGTCTGTTCCGCTCGGGACGTATGCCGGGTCTAGTCCGAAAACGAGCATTAGGCGTTGGAACTGGAGCTGGACGCTGGTGGTGTGAGACAGTGGTGCGCCACTGCTGACTTGTCCGTGGATTGGATTCAACATGGACTTTGTACGAGATGGCGTTGGCGTTGTGGTTGACTTGTGATGTTGTAAGCATTGATGGATGAGGGGCCATGGTACAATGGTACGTACACGTACTAATAGAAGTAAGCTGATCCATGCTGTTAACTACCACCAGTTGAGGCTTACATACGTATACTAACTAACTAGATTTACTATATCACTATCATACCTAGTATGTGCATAGTATATACGTAGCTTCTACGTTTACATGTGCGTATCTGGACACTATAGTAGTGTACCGTTCCAACCCCACAATCCTTCACCCATGCCACCAGCATGCCCCAAAGCCGTTCACGCCAGACGTCCCTCGCCCCGCCAGCTCATCGGTTCCGTGGGCTACGACCCTTGGGCAGGCCGGGGGGTTGCAGCGCTCGCGACGTGTCGGTCCAATGAGGGCCTTGGAGCGCAGCGTTGGCCGCCAGACGCTAATGCAGGATGAGTTGTTCAACTGGTGCTGGCATGGATTTGCCTGGGGCCCGCCAATCTGCCAGCCTGCATTGTGCGAAATAATAGTTGTTTGTCCCTCACCGTCGCTTCTCGTCGCTTTGTGCATTGATCCTCTTCTCTCCTTGGGGCCCTTGCTGTCATCTCTGTCCGTCAAGTCGTCGGCCCAAGCCTGTCTCTGCGCCTCCCCGTGCCACCCAAGCCGTTCCCCCGTCAAACTGGCCCGTTTCAAACAACCACAACTCGCCGGACCGCCCGCTCTGCAAGAAAAATAAAGAAACCGCACGAACAGCTGCAATGCCGGCGCTCGCAATTGCTTTCCACCCTTCATCCCCCGCCCTATTCCCACACGCTGTCAGAACAAAACCCCGGCGTTCACGCGCCCCGGCGCACGAGGCTTTCGAGTCACGAGCAAACTCAACACATGGACTAGTCACCAGAGACTACAAGATTCCATTCTACCGCTGCCACTCTCAGGTCACTCCCCATGGAGCCGCACAAGGGATCAAGCACGCGCAACAAACCCATGTTCAAACCCGCTCTCCGAACCCCCCTCCTACATCTTGTCCTCACTTCTTAACACCCACAACATGGTCGCTCCAATATAAAACAATCAAAATCATACAGGACGAAACATGGCCTGCCGCCATAATACTAGTAATATAAAAAAAGCCGTAAACGAGTCGAGAGCTAGGGGAACTGGATTGGCCATCGCTAGCCTGCAGAGCGATCTGCCCGTCTTTTCTTCCATCAAGTCGTAAGAATCATTAAAGATATCGTAGAAAGCTGACGACCGTAACTCGTAAGAATCAAACCATGTCGGCGGCCGTAAAAAGTTGCCATCAAAAAAACACAACCCCGAACCGAATGCATTGCGAGCGTCGTGTGGCCCATAAGACCCCGTCGGTCACGTTACCGCCCGATTGAATACAAACAACACAAACTACCTCATTTGCTGGCCCGAGCGATCAGCCACTGCAGCACAGCGTCCAGATTCGTCTCTTCCTTTGCACTGATGCCGTAGCAGCTCACTTCGCGGTGCGACACTGACTTGAGGTCCAACGCCTCGATCAGCTCATCCACCGAAAGCTTGTTAGGCAAGTCCGACTTGTTGCCCAAGACAAGGAGCGGGATTCCCTCCAGAGCCGGCTTTTCCAGCAGCAGCTTGAGCTCCTCGCCAGCAACTGGCAAGGCCTCTTTGTCAGCCGAGTCAACGATGAACCTGTCTCGATAAGCACAAGTCGACCATCACATGCGAACCACACATACACAATGGCATTTACCCCGCGGCAATACCGCTCCCACATGGAACGAAACCTAGGCTGGCCTCCCAGGTCCCAACTGTTGCCCATGGTCAGCAGATGCGCCTTGGTCTAGCTCTCGTTCCCCCACCCCGCAAGCCTCGCTCAAACGGGAATGGCGCTGCAAGAACCGAACGTGCGTGACCCAGGACTGAGATGAAGAATACTTACCACTTCAAGGTGACATGGCCTTTCTGCACACGCTTCATGTTGAAGCCAACGGTGGGGATGGAGCTAGGGCCATTGTCAGCGCATGGACCCCACTACCATGACGCTCATGGTTGCGCGAAGCAGTAGCATTGGCATCGTCGTGGAACATTGTCGCCATATGCTTGCGCACCTCGGGACAAATTCTAACTTACTCAACAGTGAACTCTCCGCCCTAGACAACAATCAGTCAGCTCACCATCCACCAGAATGAAGCACGGCAGAATGTCATCGTCATTCTCCGCATCAGGAAGCGACTCACCGCCAGAACCCTCAACAACGACGTCTTGCCAGCGTTTTGCAATCCTATCATGGTGATGTCCATCTCAGTCGCCCTAGGTGATGTGAGCAGTCAGCGTCTTCCATCTCATGCCATCGCCGCCCGTGACTTTGCGTTTCTTTTGGGGGTTTGCTAGCCGGCCAGATGAGAGGCATCAAATAGCGCACGAGACATGCCAGACGTGGGCTGTTGATGAACAGAAAGCAGACAGGTAGGCATACCAGAATAGGCGGAGCAGCCAGTCGTAGATGCGACGGAAGAGGTTCGCCATGGTCGTTGTCGCGATGGGATACTGACTCGATGGTGTTGCAGTCTGGTTGGGAGGATTGGTGATGTACGAGCGATGGAGGAAGCCTGGGAACCTTGATCCTTGCTGCGGGGCATGTAGTAGGCGTGATCACCGGGTAGTTAGCAGTAGCAACCGCAGAATGACGACGGGTCAACCGCGACTGGAGATGCAGAGAGGTGCCAGGCAATGCTGTGAGGAAGTAGAGAAGCAGAGCTGTGCCGCCCTAACGAAAGCCAGGAGTGGTTCACGCTGCAGCACAGTGATGGAGCCGCCGCGGCGTGTGACTTTGGGCCCATGGCGCTAGACAGGGGTCTGCCGATGTGGCCTACCGGACTAGTCTAGGAAAAAAGTTCGAGATTGGCATCGCAACTTCATGATCCATCGCCCTTGCAGCTCGCCGTACATACCCTCACAGCTCTGCCCGCTGCTGTCCCCCGAATTCGCTCGTCCATGATCGCGTGAGCTGCGCCATCTTTTCCTTCACTGTTTCCCAACTGCAGAGCACAGCCCATTCGCGGAAACCATGGCGCCTGCCGCAAGCGCAACGAGCAAGCCACAGCCGCAGTGGTCGACAAAAGTAGGTCTTTGCCTATACTCTTTGCCTACCAGCAACCTAACTGCCCCAGTTTGATACCCTCAGGCGACACGACCTGTTCCGCAACCCGCCCAAGGACAAGACAGCCTACCCGACCCTCGCAGCCGCCGTCGATCCCCACATCAATTCGTTCAACGCTATCTTTGCTCCAGGCGGACAGCTGGCCGAGGGCATACGAGACATTGGCACCAAGGTTTTCCTTGACGGCAGCCCATATGCCACCCCCGAAGAGACAGGTCCCCGCAACAGGCTACACCTGCGCATACAAGATGTCTTCCTCGACAAGCCTGTCCTGCCGCCCACCAACAAGGTCGCCCTCAAGAACCGCAACATTCTTCCCGCAGAGACTCGCGAACGACACGCCACATACCGCGGCAAGATGCGCGCGCGATTAGAATGGAGGGTCAACAATGGCGATTGGCAGGAAGAGGTTGTTGATCTGGGCTCAATTCCCATTATGCTCAAGTCCAATCGCTGCCATCTCGAGGGTCTCCCACCAGCGGCTCTCGTCAAAGCCAAAGAGGAGAGCGACGAGCTTGGTGGCTACTTCATTATCAACGGTAATGAAAAAATCATCCGTATGCTCCAGGTCAACCACCGAAATTACCCCATGGCCATTAAGCGTGGCGCCTTCACCAATCGCGGTCCAGGGTACACCCAGTTTGGTATCCAACTCCGATCGATGCGACCCGATCAAACGTCACAAACAAACGCTCTACATTATCTCAGTGACGGCAACGTCAACTTCCGCTTCTCATGGCGCAAGGCTGTACGAACCATCATATCCCTTGTCATTCAGCTTTTGTGCTAATATTTTTTTCCAGGAATACCTCGTACCAATCTGCATGATCCTCAAAGCCTTGGTCGAGACGAACGATCGGGAAATATTCGAAGGCCTCGTAGGCGCAGCGGGATCTGAAGGTCTCGAACAGAAGCAGTTTGTAACGGACAGAGTAGAACTGCTGCTCCGGACATACAAGGTCTATGGCCTACACTCCAAGGCAAAGACTCGCGCATATCTGGGAGAAAAGTTCAAGGTCGTCATGCAACTACCAGCAGACGTCACGGACGAGGAAGCCGGTACTGAATTCCTCCGGAAAATCGTCCTTCCTCACCTGGGTTGTGTAAACGTCACTCCTGCTCAAGATGCAGACAAATTCCGTATGCTTCTCTTCATGACCAGAAAGCTCTATGCTCTTGTCGAGGGTGACTGCGCCGTTGACAACCCAGACGCTGTTCAGAATCAGGAAATCCTACTAGGTGGACAACTGTACGGCATGATCCTGAAGGAGAGGCTAGAAGAATGGCTCAACAGCTTCCAGATTGTTTTGAGAGAATGGGGCAGGAGAACAGAGTACCGGCCTTTTACATCACAAGAATTCCACAAGGATTGGTCTTCTAAAATATTGCGACGGACACAACTGGCTATCGGACAAGCTATGGAATACTTTCTCAGTACCGGTAACCTCGTTTCGCCGGTAAGCATTTTCTTAAAGCAAACTTTACACAAGGCATACGCTGACCAGTGAAATAGACTGGACTCGATTTACAACAGACCTCCGGATTCGTGGTCGTAGCTGAAAAGCTCAACTTTCCAAGGCAAGTTGCACACTCCTTTCTTCCAATAGCGCACCACTAACTTGTACATAGATTTATCTCGCATTTCAGGATGGTGCACAGAGGTGCCTTTTTCGCGACACTCAAGACGACAACGGTCCGGAAACTCCTTCCTGAATCTTGGGGCTTCATGTGCCCCGTCCATACCCCTGATGGTTCTCCTTGTGGACTTCTCAACCACTTTTCTCACACGTGCAAGATTGCAACAACCAACCTCGACGTCTCGGCAGTCCCCAAACTTGTTGCGGAGCTAGGCGTATCGAGTAAATCATCCGCTTCGCTTGATGCAAGTGTGGTGGTGCAGCTGGACGGTCGGGTGCTGGGCTTCTGTTCGCCGAAGCAAGCCAAAATTATCAGCGATACACTGCGATACTGGAAGGTTGAAGGTTCGCACGGTGTGCCGGTCGAAATGGAGATTGGATACATTCCAAATTCAAACAACGGCCAATATCCGGGAGTCTACATGTTTTCACAGTGCTCGAGAATGTACCGACCTGTCAAGTACCTGCCTCTCAGCAAACTGGATTATGTTGGTCCGTTTGAGCAGCCCTACATGTCCATCTCCGTTACGGACGCCGAGATTGTATCGGGAGACTCAACCCACGTTGAATTTGAGCCGACCAACATCTTCTCCATCATCGCCAACCAAACTCCATTCTCCGATTTCAATCAATCACCAAGAAACATGTACCAATGTCAGATGGGAAAGCAATCGATGGGTACACCGGGAACTGCCATGAGATACCGAACAGACAACAAGACCTACCGCTTACAGACAGGCCAGACTCCCATTGCCAGACCTCCATTGTATAACGAGTATGGAATGGACAACTTCCCCAACGGAATGAACGCCGTTGTGGCCGTTATTTCCTATACTGGTTATGATATGGACGATGCTATGATTCTGAACAAGTCATCACACGAGCGCGGGTTTGGGCACGGTACGGTCTACAAGACCAAGATTCTAAATCTCGAGGAAGGAAACCGCAAGAGTCGATCAAATAAGTCGATAGCCAAGCTTTTCGGCTTTGCGCCTGAGGGTCTCGTCAAAGCAGAATCTAAGGAGACTCTTGACATTGACGGCTTACCTCGTATCGGGACCATGTTGCGATCTGGCGATCCCATCGCAGCATTCCACACTGTCTCGTATGATGCAGCTACCGGCGACTACGTGAACCGGGATGGACAGACTCAGTTCCTCAAGTACAAGGAGGACGAAATCGCTTTTGTCGAGGAAGTCCGCGTCATTGGCTCAGAAGACGGCACCCAGCCTTGCCAAAAGGTCTCAGTCAAGTTGCGAACACCACGTTCTCCCGTTGTCGGAGACAAGTTCTCTTCTCGTCACGGTCAGAAGGGTGTGGTTTCTCAGAAGTTCCCAACCACGGACATGCCGTTTTCCGAATCCGGCATACAACCAGATGTTATCATCAACCCCCACGCTTTCCCGTCCCGTATGACAATCGGCATGTTTGTCGAGTCATTGGCTGGAAAATCTGGAGCGCTCCACGGCATGGCACAAGATTCAACGCCGTTCAAATTCGATGAACAGAACACGGCCGTCGATTACTTTGGCGCTCAGTTGAAAGCCGCAGGCTATAACTACTATGGAAACGAACCAATGTACTCTGGAATCACCGGCGAGGAACTCTACGCTGATATCTATATTGGAGTAGTATTCTACCAACGTCTTCGTCACATGGTCAATGATAAATTCCAAGTCCGAAGCAACGGCCCGTCAAACGCGCTAACGGGCCAGCCCATCAAAGGTAGGAAGAAGGGCGGTGGTATCCGTGTTGGAGAAATGGAACGCGATGCTCTCTTAGCCCACGGCACTGCCTTCCTCCTCCAAGATCGACTAATGAACTGCTCCGATTACACCAAAGCCGCTGTTTGCAGAACCTGTGGCTCCTTCCTCAGTACTACACCCACTGTCAGCGAATATGGCCGCAAAAAGGACAGAAACGGCAAGGACGTTACTATTCGATGCAGACGTTGCGCCAAGCTTGCTGGTAGCAACGATAACGACGTTTGGATGGACGCTCAGGGCTTGCGCTACTCCGGTGGCGAAGATGTCGCGATTGTGGCTGTGCCTGGTGTCCTCAAGTATCTTGACGTCGAACTGTCCAGTATGGGCATCAGGCTCAAGTACAACGTGGATCCTTAGCCGACTCATATTGAAAACTGCCGGACTGATGTCGCAGCTGGTTTTAAGATGACCCCAACGACTTTTGGGTGTAAAAAAGGAATTCAATACCGGGATTTCTGGTCAGAGTCTGTCGTTGGTGTTGATACCGAAGGTTGGGTATGGTTTGATTTGGAGTTGGGCTTATCATGCTGCATTTCTTTTTGTGTCCGCCATCTTGGCGTTGAGAAAGAATGAGGTCATGCCGGATTACCTGGGGAGAGGGGAAAAAGTTTAATGACTTTGACTTTTTTTAGCATTGCATCTGCCTGGCGTAAATGGTGCCAGATTCGATAATTTCAATAGGTCCTTACGTTTTTATATTCCTCAGTTGTCCCATTTTCGCTATGTGATCTGTCTTGACCAGCGACTAGCAAACAGTCATGGCAAAGGAGAAAATTTCTTAATACTTCTATGCCTATACTTTCTCCCTCTCCAAAACTAAAAGTAACTACTAAATTTGAAGACCATTTCAGTATCTACATTAAATTTCTTTCGATATTCCGCTTCGTGGGAAGGAGTTTTTAAGTTTTAGCGCTGAAGAAGCTTTCTGAATTTCTCCTTAATTGACTACTCCACTAATTCTGAGCTGATATATTGTATCTAGCTACTTTAGAGAACCATTGTATAGGTAATACATTTGATTATCATGTCTACACTTATACAAAAAAACTCGGACATTAAATACTAAGCCAAAGGTTAAGAGCCTCCTTGTACTTTAATACCCCAAGACCAGTAACAGCATCCCATCCAACAGCGGGCGGATAGCCGGTATCGTTACAACCTCTGTTGCTCTCCCCTTGGGTAATGTCTCGAATGATACGATCTGCGTATTTATATAGAACAGGATTGATAAACCCAACCACAGGTTTGCCCACGGCCAAACGCTCCAAATTGATGCGCGTAATAAGAGCGCCAACATATTGTACCGACACAGAGGTCCCGCCTGCTTGGTAGACGACTCCTTCGTCGATCATGAAGTTGGATGCAAGAGTACCAATGGCGGAAAGGTCAGGAACCCCGCGCCCAGAGAGACTGCGGACACCATTTGTGCCGAAATCCGAGATGATATCTGGTAGTAAAGTATTGTTCGCGACCAGAGGAGCCAAGCCTGTGAATCCGGGCTTATCGACTAATAGAGGTGCCGGACGGGCCAACGCCGCGGACGGGCCAACGCCGGATTTTTCCCCAACAGTACTATCACAAACTTGAAGCTGTAGAGCTCTACATAAAAGCTATTATCGCGAGAAATTTTAATGTAGTAACCTAGTAGTATCATTTATCTAATCTATCTACTGATATTTGATTGGCAGCTTGATGGGGCGGCCTGAACGCGAGCGTGGTAACGGTGGTGCAGCTGATCGATCGGCTGGCTGCGCACCACCACTACTACTACCAATGATAATATTTTTTGATACTAGCTTGGCACGGCGCTTAGAGCTAGGCTTCTTGCCTATTCGAGAGATTTTGATAGCTTTTTGAAGTCGTTTGTGGGCGGCTTGGCGGGCTATCTGGTGGGCAGCTGCTTTAGCTTTCTGCCTCTCACGATCTAGTTTTGCCTATGCCCGCGCCCGCCGCCGTGCATCTAGTTCTTGAGTCTTTG